GGTCAGAGCCAGGGCTAGTTAGGACCAGAGCCAGGGTTAGTTAGGGTCAGGGCCAGGGTTAGTTAGGGTCAGGGCCAGGGTTAGTTAGGGTCAGGGCCAGGGTTAGTTAGGGTCAGGGCCAGGGTTAGTTAGGGTCAGGGCCAGGATTAGTTAGGGTCACTCCTGAAAACTCTCCTAGGAGAGTTTTCGCATTAAGTCGTTAACCCCTTAGCTGGGAAGTTAGTTCGTTTTATCCTTGGTGCTAGCTATTGAGCTAGACAAAGATGTCAGGACTCTGAAGAGGAGAGTTGGCACTAGAACTAGGAAAATTGGTCGGAGGAGGGGGAAGGAGGGAGCAAGCTGAATAGGTACAGCTTTTACAATTTAAATTTATGTTCTTACATTGCTGTCTGGATAAAGACAACTTTCTGTCTTTTCATCTTTGAAAAAGGTTTTATTTATGCAGACAAGAACTGGGGTGTAGGCTAGAGGTATGGAGGATGAGCGCATCCACCAGAGACAGAGCGGGGAGCAGAACAGGCAGATGGACTGAAACACACTGCTGAAGGGCGCAACGGAGGACAGGAGAGGTCTGATGCGCCCTGTGGTCACTGCGTGGCTGGGGGTGGAACTCTTGAGGCAGTGGCTGGAGACCCCTTGACAGTGCTGAGACTGACCCCGAGCCACCAGGGAGGCCCCCTTTTCACTTTTGCTGACTACAAGCTGCTGTCAAACACCTGTTGAGTTATGACAGTTGGGGGAAGAGCCTGTGGCTGCTTCCTGTACTTCAGTGTCCTGGGACAGGGCTCAAGGGCTCTGTCAGGCCTATGGGCCCTGGAGGCCCCTGGCAGAAAGCAAGTGGCGACTGGCTGACAGCAGTTTGGGTCTGCTCAGCCCCATCCCCACCCTAGCTGCGGACCTCAGGGCTCCTTTGGAGTAGGGTGTGGTGGCGGGAGGAGGGACCAGAATATTCAGTGAGCATTTCCTTCTTCACCCAGGGGTGGGGATGGCAAAAGAATTGCATCTCTTGCGGGCCACTGATAAGTCCCGGAAGCCTTCAGTGTTGAGGGTTCTGAGGCCGGGAGGGGCTGGCGGGCTCTGTCCGCCTTGTGCCTCTGGCCCTGAGCACTGACCTTGCCCCTTCGCCCTCTGTCCTAGGGGCCCAGCAGGAGCCTGGCCCGGGAGCCGGGATGGCCACCCCCACAGCCTTGCTGACGTGCCTGGGACTGCCTCTCTTGCTGCTCCCAGGCGCTTGGGCCCAGGACTCGGCCCCTCCTGGCTGCAGCCCGGACCTCGACCCGCTCTACTACAACCTGTGTGACCGCTCCGAGGCCTGGGGCATCATCTTGGAGGCGGCGGCCGGCGCGGGTATCGTCACCACCTTTGTCCTCACCATCATCCTGGTGGCCAGCCTCCCCTTCGTGCAGGACACCAAGAAGCGCGGCCTCCTGGGCACCCAGGTGTTCTTCCTGCTGGGCACCCTGGGCCTCTTCTGCCTGGTCTTCGCCTGCGTGGTGAAGCCCGACTTCTCCACCTGTGCCTCTCGGCGCTTCCTCTTCGGCGTCCTCTTTGCCATCTGCTTCTCCTGCCTGGTGGCGCACGTCTTCGCCCTCAACTTCCTGGCCCGGAAGAACCACGGGCCCCGGGGCTGGGTGACCTTCGCCGTGGCCCTGCTGCTGACCCTGGTGGAGGTGATCATCAACACGGAGTGGCTGATCCTCACGCTGGTCCGCGGCGGCGGCGAGGGCGGCTCCCCGGGCAATGCCAGCGCGGCCGGGGCCCCGGGCCCCCCCTGCGCCGTGGCCAACGTGGACTTCGTCATGGCCCTCATCTACGTGATGCTGCTGCTCCTGGCCGCCTTCACGGGGGCCTGGCCCGCCCTGTGCGGCCGCTTCAAGCGCTGGCGGAAGCACGGGGTCTTCGTGCTGCTGGCCACGGCCACCTCCATCGCCATCTGGGTGGTGTGGATCGTCATGTACACCTACGGCAACAGGCAGCGGGAAAGCCCCTCCTGGGACGACCCCACGCTGGCCATCGCGCTGGCCGCCAACGCCTGGGCCTTCATCCTCTTCTACGTCATCCCTGAGGTGTCTCAGGTGACCAAGGCCAGCCCGGAGCAGAGCTACCAGAGCGACATGTACCCCACGCGGGGGGTGGGCTACGAGACCATCCTGAAGGAGCAGAAGGGCCAGAGCATGTTCGTGGAGAACAAGGCGTTTTCCATGGACGAGCCGGCGGCAGGTGGGTGTCGGGGGGCCCTGTGCAGCCCCCTTCTTTGACTGCGCCGTCGGCTGCAGGCGTGGGTCTCTGGACCAGCTCGGGAGGGTCTTGAGGTTACCGACAAGCCCATGAAGTGACTTTCCCCCTTCAGGTTCGCGAAAGCCATGGGTATATTTTGCCATCAAACTTTGAACATTACCTATATATATATATATATATATATATATATATATACTCTTGTTTTTTAAAATTTATTTATTTATGTGTCCGAGAACTAGGGGTACAGGCCAGAGGTGCAGGGGCGGTGAGAGGCTCACCAGAGACAGTGGGGAGCAGAACAGGCAACTTAACTGAAGTCCACTGCTGGGGGGAGCAGCGGGGAGACAGCAGCGGTCTGCGGCGCCCTGGGGGTCCCTCTGCGGCGCCCTGGGGGTCCCTCTGCGGCGCCCTGGGGGTCCCTCCCTGGCTGGGGTCAGCCTTGTGCTGCTGTCTGGCTGCGGCAGCTTCACAGTGCTGCGCATTAACCCCTGCGCCACCACGGAGGCCTCCAGTGTCACCTGCAGCAAACCAGTTCTCCCCCGGGGTCTCCTCGGTTCTCCAGTTCCAGCCCCAGGACTGACCACTGCTGCCTGCTGGCCCCTCCACCAGCCTCACCAGCTGTACGGTGGGGACCAGAGTGACGCTGTTGGGTAGATTCCCGCGGGGCCGCGGGGCCTGTGCCGGCTCGGCCCGTGTGTCCTGCGCCCGCCAGCCCCGGCGTGCGGTGCTCCTGGCCGCCGCGTCTCCGTCGCCTCTCAAAGGGTTTTTTTTTTTTTAAGATTTATTCATCTGTGGAAACAGAGCTGGGGTACAGGCCAGAGGTGCAGGGGCGGTGAGAGGCTTCACCAGAGACAGAGCGGGGAGGGGAGCAGCAGGCAGGTGAGGAGGGGTCTGCCGCGCCCTGCGGGTCCCCTGCGGGGCTCCAACTCGCACTGCAGCGGCGGCCGCCAGCCCGCAGTGCGGAGCCACCAGGGAGGGCCCCGTCCTCTTAAAGTTTTACCAGCTGCTTTTTCTTTTAAATGAAACCACTCCCCTCCCTCCAAATATCAATCAGGACAGCGCCCCTCCGCCTCCAGGTCCGCGGGGCCTCGCCATGGCACGCACGTGTGCAGGGTGCCCGCAGCAGGGCGCCCGCGGTGTGCCGGCCAGTCTGGCCCTTCCCGACGAGCCCCGAGCGCGGTCGCGTGCTGACTCGGCCCGGCGAGCAGGGCAGCTCCGGAGCCTGGTCCTGACCCAGCTGTGCTGGTGGAGGTAGTCGGGGCCTAAGACCTCAGCGTGTGCGGAGGCTGGCCAGGCCTCTGCGGAAGGCAGGGTCGGGAGAGGCCAGGATGTGCCTGCTGCGCGGGCGGCCACCCCCGCTCTGGGAGCGGAGCCGACCCCTCCAGCTGGACACTGCATCTTGGATCTGCTCGCTGGGCCACCCCACCCCTCCCGCCCTCAGCCTGTGCTGTGGGCTGGGGCCAAAGAGTTCTCAGCCTTTGTCCTCTCAAGGCAAACACTTCTGGGGCCGGGAGGGCTTTTTTCTTTTGCTTTTCATTTTTTTCTAAATGGAAAAATCAATCAAGTGAGCCCAGCACTTAGAAAGCCCCGTAGAGCTGAGGCCCCGAGGAGACAGGACACGGCTGCTCCCGGCGGCCAGCCCCCTGGGGCCCCAGGGTCGGTCCTCGGACACCCTGGGGGCAGCCGGCGGGATGGAACAGCCGGAACCCACTCATCTGTGGGCAAGTGTTCCTGGAGCTGAAACTCCTGGAAAGGCCCAGGGACCAGACAGGCCGAGCGTTCAGCCCCCCACGGGCTGGGTGGGGTCCTGGGCCGTGGGACCCGCTGCGCCCCTGAGGACAGCCGGAGCGCTGGGCCGGGCTCTTGCTGTGCCCCCGGTGTCTGGCCGCTGGCCCGCAGCCAGGAGCGGAGCTGGAGGCCGGCCATCGAAGGCCCTTGTGCCCCCGCTGGCCCCGGAGGGCGGATGGGGATGTGACAAGGCTGCTGATGGGGCGTTTTTCTGAGACGATAGTTGGGGGAAGAGGGGGCGTCCCACGTGGCAGGAAACCTCGAGAGAAGCCAAGCGGCGACCTCTGTGCCTCTGTAGAAGCAGTGCCGGGCTCCCGCGTAGGGGAGGGGTCCGCGGCCTCCCCTCACCCCCACGCCAGCCGCCCCGGCCCGGCTCCCCCTCTGGGGGGATGTGACCCCGGGGCGCCTGTCTCCCTCTGCCCCGCCCCTGGGGAGCCTTCTCCAGGGGCTAGCGGGAGCTCGGCCCTCCAACCGTCCCGTGTTCCCTTGCAGCTAAGAGACCAGTGTCCCCGTACAGTGGGTACAACGGGCAGCTGCTGACCAGCGTGTATCAGCCCACCGAGATGGCCCTGATGCACAAAGGCCCGGTGAGTGGGGACCCCGTGTCCCGTGACCAGCCTGAGCGGGAGGTGGCCAGGGTGGGTGGGGTAGAGGCAGTGGGGAGAAGCATCGACTTGGGAACCCAGGTTTTCCTGGAGCTGAGGTAGCCACAGCCCCCCGCTTCCCCAGGGAGGGAGAGGGACACCCCGACAGGCAGAAGGCAGGCGGGGCCTCTCTGGCTGGGGGCAGCTGCCTGGGGGGACAGAGGTGGCCATCACGGGGCAGCGGTGAGCATTCGCTGCTAAGCCCCGTGGCCCGGGAGACGCGACCCTCCCCCACTGCAGGCAGCCCCCTCGCCCACCTCACGGCTCCCCTGGGCTCTGGGAACCAGATGCTCTGTCAGCACAGGAGGGGGCGGGCAGGAAGGCGGGGGCTCCCCTCCTCTGAGCTTGTTCCTCCCCTGGGCCCGCAGTCTCTGCCGGAGAGGTCATGACCTGCCCGGGCGGCCGCTGGGAACAGGAAGCCGGGAAGGTCAGCGGGGTGACCTCTCGGCCCCACGCCCCCCCTGGGTGAGGCCAGTCTAGCTGATGCTTCTCCCTGAGCCAGTGTCTGCCAGGCAGGGAGAGCAGACCAGGGACCGGAGCTGGCGGGCCAGGGACCCGAAGGACAGGAGCGGTCCGGGCACTCCGGTCCAGGGCTCAGTGGCTGCCACGCGGCTCGCCTGCTCCCGCGGGAGGGTCTGGACTCAGCCGTTTTGTCACGCAGCGGCTGAGATGTGCCCTCAGCGTCACCGTCACCATGGTTAGCCCCGCTCAGCCGGCCCCCAGGAGAACCTGCAGTTCGCAGACGCCCTGATAGGGAGGGGGCCGGGGGCCCCTCCCGGGTGGGCGCCTCGGGACTCTCACCCGTGTGGGAACGGGGCCTCAGCTGCTCTCGGGGTCCAGGCAGAGAATGTGGGTGTTCTAAGTCCCCAAACCTTAAGCCTCAAACCCCGGGCCGTTTGGGTTTTAAGTCTCCAGATCAGACTGGCCAGCCTGCCCCCCCCCCCCCCGGGTTCCAAGCGCGGGGTCAGGCACCGCAGCTGCGGGGCCATCTGGGGAGCACAGGGGAGGGCCTGGAGGAAGGAAACCTGGGAATGTTACCAGCGAGTGAGGCGCTCGGCTTCGGGGCCCAGAGAGTGGCCTGAGAAGGGGCTGCCAAGGGCCGGCCCCGTCCGGAAGCCCCAGGATCTGGGGACCCCAGGACCTGACCCTCTGCCGGGTGAGATAAGGGGCTGGAGGTTAGAGGCCAGCTGCCCTCTGCAGAGTGGACCTGGCCCCCTGGGGAGCCGGCGGCGGAGGGGGTGAGGGGCGGGGAGCTGGCAGCCCCAGAACGCAGGAAGCGCGTGTTTGTGCATCCACGCGGCGGAACCTGGCTGTGACACCGCCTGTCCTTCCTCCCAGTCCGAAGGAGCCTACGACGTCATCCTCCCACGGGCCACCGCCAACAGCCAGGTGATGGGCAGCGCCAGCTCGACACTGCGGGCCGAGGACATGTACGCGGCCCAGGGCCAGCAGCCGCCCGCCGTGCCCAGGGACGGCCCGGACTCTCAGGTCTTTAGAAACCCCTACGTGTGGGACTGAGGCGCCGGACGCGGCGGGCGATTTGGGGAGGGCCCGGGGACCCCTGCGCCCCCTGCCCCCCGTCCCCTGGCTGGCTCAGGGCGTGAGGCCCTTGTCTGCGACGTCCGGGTGGGTGTCCCCGGGCCCTGCACCCACTGCCCAGTGTCTGGAGGCGAGGAGCCAGCCCCGCTTCAGCTCAGGGTCACCTCCGGGGTCCCGCTCCAGCCAAATAGTGTTGTTCTTGGGGTGGCAGCCGGTCGGGCCTGGCTCTCGCATCTCCGGAGAGCTCCCCGCAACCTCGAGATTTTGAAGGCGCGTGTCCTGGGTCTTGCTCCTCTGTGAGGACCAAGGGGGCTAATAAACACGTTTCTGCTTTATTAACCTTCCTCTGGGAATGTGTCTCTGACCTCGGGCCTGTGGGTCTTTTTTTTTTTTTTTTAAAGATTTATTTTTATTCATGCATACAAGAACTGGGGTATCGGCCAGAGTTGGGGGGGTGGGAAGCGGTGAGCAGACTCACCAGAGACAGAGTGGGGTGCAGAACAGGTAGATGGACTGAAACACTGCTGTGGGGAGACGGGAGAGGTCCGCTGCGCCCTGGGGGTCCCTCCCTGGCTGGGGATGGAGCTCGTGCTGCAGAGAACTTCATAGCGCTGCGTTGCACTTGAACCCGCTGCAGCACTGGGGGCCCCTCTGGGTCTCGGGGAGCTGCTGCACCGGGCCTGCACCTGCTTCCTCTGCTGCTCTCCAGCCCGCGCTCCCTGGGGGCCCCGGCTTCCCCCAGGGAGGACTCCGGAACCCAGGCTGTGTTGCTGTGATCAGCTTGAACGTGTGGGCCCCACTCCCGTCTCAGATGTAGCCACCATCTGGGCCTGTCTGAACCTGGCAGCCCCTCCGGGCCCCCCTCCCATGGCTGAGGTGGGGGGCGGCAGCAGGGGGCCAGCAACAGGCTGTTCTGGAAGGGGGTGTGAGGGAGCATCCCCCCCGTAGGGGGTTGGCGCCAAGGACCCCTGGCCCCTCTGCTAGGTCACGGCTCAGAAAGGGCCAGGACTTGTGGACCAGGTGACTCACAGAGGTAGTGTCGTTCCCTGGCAGCTCTTACAGCGCCCATCACCCAGCCCTTCAGGACAGACGCCCCGCGTCCGAGTATTTCAGCCCCTGGCTGCCCCAGGAGGGCAGGAGCGTGCATCACCCTTCAGAGTTAAAACCCCAGAGCGCACCCTGTCGGGGTTAGACGGGTCCTGGGCTGACAGCCACGAGGCTTCTGCCCCTCCGCAAGGTAAGCGGCTGAGCCCACCCGGCCCCCGAAGGTGGCCACAGCGGCAGGCAGCAGACCCCGTGGCCTGGCAGCAGTGGCCGGGCCCTGGACATCAGCGCGAGGCTTTTGCCAAGCCGGGCCCTGGACATTAGCGCGAGGCTTTTGCCAAGCCGGCCCCACCCAGCAAAGCTGCTTTCTGACACCTGTTGTCTAGAACATATGTTTCTGCTGGGAAGGAGAGGAAGAGAGACAAAAATCAAACGCTTCCCCCAAGTTTCTCTGAGGGGCTTGCCCCAGGCCCCAGGAGACTCACACTAGCAAATCGGTGCTTGGGCCCTGCGCAGCGAGGTCCCCTTTGACGCTTGTTCTCTTTGGTTACTTTAGGCTCAGTCCCCGCAAAATAAAACAAGATGGTAGCCAGACGCCCTCCTCCCGGGACCGCACGCCGTCCTGATGTCTCATCCCTCTGTCCAGGCTGGGCAGGGCTCAGCACCTTTCCTGACCTTGTCCTTGGAGCTGGGCGGGACCGGAGCCCGCCGACCTGGAGCCGTGGACTGAATGGGGGGCCCTGTGGAATCCAGGCCTGCGGCTGGGGCTCTTAGGTCTCCCCCTTGCTGCCCAGCCCGCCTCTCCTGGCCCCCAAGTGACGGAGGCCGAGGGGGCCGCCTGCAGGCCCCAGCCTGCCTCCCCTCTTGCTGTGCCCCCAAGTCACAGCCTGGCTCCCCAGATGGCCGTCTGCTATCTTCGCGCCATGGGCCTGCCCGCCCGTCTTGGCAGCGTCCAGCATCGGTGTGGCCCCACTCCGCCTAGATGACCGTCCTTCATCTTCGGAGCGGGGCTCTGGCAGCAGCTGGCCGCTCGGGCCGTGGGGGTCCCCGGGGGCGGGGGAGACAGACGCGCCCCTGCAGGGCGGGAGCCTGGCCCCTGGGTGCTCCACACATACCCTCCCCCACCGCACCCCTGTGGGGGTGAGGGCCGCATCTCAGGGACCAGCTGAGAACCCCGACCGGCTGGATTGAGGGGCAGATGCGGGGCTTGGGGGGCCCCTCGGACGAGGGGGACCAGGACTGAGGCTTGTGCCACCCCTCTGGGCAGATGGGCAGGCTTCCGCCTCACCAGCTCTGTCGGCGTGCCGGCTCCACCGCCCGCCATGAGCCGCTCCAGAGGGTCCTGGTGCTCCCCCGAGGAAGTCGGGGGCTTCCTGGGGTGCCTGCCTGATGTTGGCACCAAGGACAGATGTGTGCTGCCCCGGACTAGTCTCCCGGCTTTAGCCTGCTGGGGGGGCTTGTCCCAGGCCCCCCAGGTGGTGTGCCCTGGAGCTCAGCATCACCCAGCGGCTGGGCCCACCTGGCCCTGCAGCCCGCCCCCTCTGCTGCGCCCCGTCACTGACTATGCCTGCAGAGCATAGGGCTGCACCCCAGAGGGTGAGCCCCGCTCATTCACCAACCCGTTGCACTGTGGTTGCTTAGTCCCATGAGTGGCATCACGACCCACCATGGACGTCCACAGACCTCCCGTGACCTCACAGGGACTCCCTGGCCGCCATAAGCCGGGCCTTCCCCGGGGAGGGCGTGAGCGTGCTGGCGGCCCGGGGGGCGGGGAGCAGCCCGAGTCCTCTGGGGGTGAGGCTTGGGGAGGGATGGGCCCCAGACAGACGCAGGCATCCGGGCCGCGCGAGTGCCCCAGCCCTGCTTTGCTTGCTCAGGGCTCAGGCCCGGGGGCAGGTAGATGCGCCTGTAGGAGAAGGGGCGCCGGGGTCTGGCCCCGCTGCGCCCCCGACAAGCCTGGGACGGGAGAGAACTCGGTGAGCCAGACAGGACGTGCGGCCGCTCCCCAGCCGCGTAGCGGAAGCAGGGCAGTCTCGCCTCAACTGCCAGAATTAAACACCTCCTGCATTTGTGAGGAGCTACAACCACCGAACCCCTGTGCGCTCAGTAAGAATTTCTTGCAATTTAGCAACAGGCATTTTTCATCCTAGATTCCTTGCTGCTGAAACCAACAGGCTGATAGATTCTACCCTCTTCATGCTTGGGGACTGGTTCTCAGCTGAGCCCAAGCCTAGTACTCGCCCGCTCCAGGATCTGGGGGTACAGGCAGAGTGGGTGGGACACCGCTGGACCCCTGTGTGCAGGTGACTGGATCACCTTGTGAAAGGGTACAGCGGACCTGGTCGTACCTCTCAGATCTGGGGGACCCGGTGGGCCGTGCACAGCCTTGTTTTAACATACAGTTCCCACGCCTTTGGGGACCCTCACAGAAGAACGAGAAACAGATGCACCAAGTGAGGTGCTGTGTGGCGCAGCGGGCAAGGAGGGTCACCAGCGCTTGCTCTCGCCCCAGGGGAGAGCTAAGGTCAGGCACGGGTGTGGCGACCAGCTGCACCCCCCCTCAGCCCTCCGGAAGCTGCGGCCCCTCAGGCAGCCGCAGGGTCATGTAGCATCTGCGCTGGGATGCTGGCTCTGACCTCACCAGCGGCCCCTGGGCGCAGGGCGAGGCTCTCACCTCGGTGTCCTTGAAGTGGGGACCCCTGTTGGGGACTTAGGGCGCTTGGAGGAATTGGGGACCAGAGAGCCACGGCCCTGGCCGCAGGTCAGCGCTGCAGACAGGATGAGCCTGCGGGGCTGCCCGCCACGGGTTCCAGAAGTACTTGCACCCCGAGCTGAGATTTAATGCTCCGGCTCCCCCAAGTCACCTCATGGAAGTCACAGCCACGGCGGAGCATCTGGGGCCCGTGCCCGCGCCCTGCCCAGACGCGGGTCTCCAGGCCACAGGTCACTGCTGTCACTGCCCCCTCTGCCCTGACTCCTCCGGCCCCCAGAGCAGGAGGCTAGCCCCGTGCAGTTGCGGGGCTCTAACGGGGTGCTGAGGAGAGGGTCAGCCCCTTGGCCGTGCCCTGACCACAGGGCTTGGCGATCCAGCAAGTAGCTGAAGAGCTGGGCCCAGGGCGTCTTGCTCATGGCAAACGTTTACTGGGCACCAGGAGCTGAGCTGACCTGGCCCCGCCCGCTGGGCTGTCTAACTCCCTCCTGGCCAGGTCAGGCCCTGGGCTGAAGCAGGTGCTGGCCGGTGTTCAATCCCTGACCGGCATGAAGTGGACAGATAAGGCTCCTACACCCCCCCTCCCCCCAAAACACCTTTTCTGTCATCTCCACCTAGGCAGCTCCCCTGCCCCAGATTCCTCATCAAAATGAACCCTGAGCCTCCCGCTCTGCTTAAGCCCTGAAGCTGGGGTCCTCACATTTGTGAGGAGAACCCCAAGCCTCAAGGCTGTGCTGAGGTGTGCCTGCCGCGTGGACTACAGGTCTAAGCCCCGTGAGCTTGCTGTCGCGGCCACCATCTGGCAGGGTCTGATTAGCCCTGGGTCCCCTAAGGTGGGGGCCTCCTCAGGTCGGGGCGCAGGGCCAGCACCACAGGCCCGCGGGGTCCCTGGTCTAATTCGTACCTGATGTTCCACGCCCCCGCAGCACAGAGGGCCCCGGGCCGTTCTGTGGGGTCAGAATCCTTCCGCTGCCCCCCAGTCCAGGCACCTGGGACCGCCCAAGGCCCGAGGTGGGAACCCCGCCTCAGACGCTGACATCACTCCTCAGCGGGCGCCCGCCCCCAGCCCCCAGCCAACCCGAGGCCGCCTCCTCCCCACCCTCTCCCCAGCACCCCTGCAACCTGATCCCCGCCACCGCGCAAACCAGCCGCGACCGGCTGTCTGGGCTCTGCCACTGCGGCTCAGTCCCAGGGCCGCGCCTGACTGCTGCTGGTGACCTTTCCCCTGACCCTCCCTCGCTGAGTTTGGGTGGCTGGGGTAATGGGGCCTGGCACGGGCGCCCCACCGCTGCCTGGGGGTTCGCGCCAGGCGGGTTCCGGTTTCACGGCTGACTTGCGCCGTCCTGTGCTCTGTAGGGCTGTGAGAAGCTTCCACGCCTGGAAGCCGGGGCCCACTGCTGTCACAGCGGAAACTGTCCCCAGAGGGGCCCAGTGCCCCCGGGGAGACCCAGGGCTCTGGGAGTCCCCGTGGGTACCCGCTGCTCCCGGGGTGTGGTGGGGGTGCTGCTGCTCCCTCTATCCCTCTGGTTTACAGATGTCCCCGGCCGACCTGGGGCTGTGACTGTCCACCTGAGGCGTCTGGGCGGCCAGCCCGTCCCTGGTGCGCGAGCCCCCCCGCCCCCTGGATGCTGGGGCGGGTGCAGGAGGCGCCACCGGCTGACACCAGCAAAGGTAGCTGGGCCGCCTGGGGGTTCCCCCGAGCGACGCTGGGGACCGCTGGGGCCGCTGTGGACCCGACCCTCGGCACAGCAGGTGCTCGGGGCTCGGCCTCTGCCCCTCCCCCCTCCCGGAGGTGGACTCGGCCTCCGAGCCAGCGAGGGCAGGTGGATGGGGGGGGGGGGGTGAAACTTCAGAGAACAGGAAATGAATCGCCCCAGAGGGGAAGACCCATGTGGCCCTTTAGGGGGCCCACTGGGGTGGCTTCAAGCCCCTGACCACAGAGGCCAAGAGAAGGGGATGGGTCAGGATGGCTTTTCTCTCTCCTTCCTTCTTTCCTCTGACTGGCTCCTTCTCCATGAAAATAATTAAAAAATTGTTTTAATGATCTGAGAAAAGGGAAGGAGCCCCCAGGTGAGCGCTCCTGCAGCAGCACCCCTCTCTCCGGGGCTGGGTGCTGCCAGCCCCTCCTAGCGCCTGGACCACAGACCCCTCGGTCAGGCTCTGCCACCACAGCCCCGGAGTCTGCGTTTTCCTCTCCCGGGAGCGCTGCGAGCTGAGAATGGGGGCTGTGGGGGTGCGAGTCCCTCGCTCCGCCGCGCCCTCAGAGAGCCGACTGAGCCCATCTGGGAGCAGACCTGGGCGCCACACCGGTGGCAGGCGTGTGTCCCAGTGCCGCTGTCAGGGCGACGCCCGGCCGCGGAGGGACAGCCGGGGTCCGCACCGCAGCTCCTGGGCCGCGCAGACACCTGCTCCCTGCTCCCGCCTCGCCCGCCCGCCTCACGCCCCTCAGTCGCCACCGGAAGGCGCCGTGAGGAGCCGGCTCTGGGCGCAGGGGCGAGGGGCGAGGCACCTGTGTGCTGCAGGTGCACCGGTGTGTGGTCGGGCTTACCTGCCAGGCGAAGGTGGAACCGAGGAAACCCCCCACCCCGTCATACCCACGACGAGAGGGCTGTCACCGTGTCGCTGGGCGGCCCCTGCTCCGTGGGGACCCGCGAGGGGCCCCCTGTGGCTTCAGCGACGGGGGTGTATCGTCGCCGGGTTCTGCAGGCGGAAACCCGCGATCCAGACGTGTGCGGGAGGGTGGGGCGGGGCGCCCCGCCTCTGCGCGCGCCTCTCTGCACTGGAGTCAGGGCGGTGGCCATGTTGGATCAGGGAACCCCTCGACCTCGTTTAACTCCATCACCCCTGGAAAGGCATCTCCACGCCAGTCTGCACTCAGAGGCCCTTGGAGTCACCCTCTGAAATGTCGGGGCGGGGGACACTTCACCCCCGCCGACTGGGCCCATCTCACAGCGGGTGGAAATGGGCGAGGACTCGGTTTCTATTTTGCTTGGTGGCCTCCAGCGGTGGGGTCCCTCCCTGGGGACCCCGGCTCCCTGGCCCCCCATGTTGAGCTCTGCCCCTCCTCCAGGGAAGCACGTGGGAGTAACAGGGACAAGCAGCTGTTGTCCAGTGCCAGGGGCATGGAGACCGCGCTCCCCAGATGCGGCCGCAGATCTGTGTCGAGGCCGCGGGGCGGAGGGGGCGGACGCCCAGGAAGGTCCCTGTTCAGAAAACCTCTCCGCGTCCTTCCTGTTTTGATTAAAGAATGGGAAGAAACTACCCCCTGAGCCCAGGAGGGAGGACCGCTGCCATGGCTGTCCCGGAGGGCCCACACTTGCCCCCCAGGCGTGTCCCCCAGTGTCTGCGGAGGGCAGAGCACAGCTGGGAGGGAGACCGCTCCGAGCACAGGGCCTCCCTGCACCCCAGGCCGGCCGGCAGCCGAGAACCCCCATCCTGGGAGGAGGCAGCGGCCTGCAGGTAACACCTGATGGATCGGGGCCGGCTCCATGGAGGCGCATGGGGGCCAGGCCTCCAGGCCCGTGCAGTGATGGCAAGGGGCAGAGGGAGCACCCCCACTTTAGGGGCCCCGGGGGGCAAGGCACTGGGGAAATGCCACTTAAAATAGCCCTCCTTCCTCCGCTGTCCTGCAGAAAACCTGGAAGGTTCCCCGGCCTCGGGTGGACACGGTGTTTGGGGACCACGGCTCCGGGGGCAGGGCTGTCGCGGCCTCCTGCTGGATGCCTGCCTCAGACTCCTGTCTACAGCCTGGGTTTTCTCAGGCGCTCCCTCGGCCCTGGAGTTGGGGAGAGTGCCATGCGCACACCCCAGTGTCATGGACAAGCACCCACTGCATCGGCCACGTGTGAGGCGCAGCTGGCCTCGGCCGGCCTCCCTGCCCCGGGAGAGCCACCCTGCCCTGGCCAGTCTGCCAAACATGGCATCACTTTTATCAGGTAGCGGTTGACCTCTGCGTCCTCACCGGGCCCTAGACCCTGCCCTGGCCGGCCTGCATCCGCCCAGCCCCTCTGGGCACAGGGGATCCCAGGCACCCCGCAAGTCCTGCGCTGTAGGCTCCAGAGCTGGGACGGAGGTGTTGCCGGGGGCCGGTTTCAGTCCTGGGGCCAGAGCGTCTGACGCAGGCGCTCAGAGGCCGGCCTGGAGTGGGCATTCTTTTATTTATTTATTTTTATTTTTTAAATTATTATTATTTTTTAAAATAATATTGGCGTGGGCATTCTTAACCCGCGCCGGTGTCTGTCAGAACCCGCCACGCTTGGGCCTTGTGGGGAGACCTAGGGAAGGTCGCCTGGAGCTGCTGGTGTCAGGCCGGAGGGAAACTATCAAAGCCTCGGCTCCTCACCTTCCGTGGGACTGAGGGGGGCTTGTGGGGTGGGAGGGTGGTGGTGGTGGTGATGGGTGATGGAGGGGTGGGGTTGGGGGTGCTAGTGGTAGGGGAAGGGTGTGGGGTGAGGGGAATGGTTGGGGGAGTGTGGGGTGGGGTGGGGTGGTGCCAGGGAAGTGGGGGTGCTGGGGGTAGGTGTGAGTGGTGATGGTGGGGGGTGGTTGAGTTGTGTGACCTGAGGGTGCTCCCTCACCCCTCCTGAGGCCAGGCTCATTTGAGGACAGGTCAGCATCCAGAACTTTCAATGTCCATCTACCTCCCCACATTTCTCAAAGACAGAGGAGGAAGGAGGGCGCCAGGCTGGGGTCCAGAGCTCCTGGGCCACTTGTCTGGCTGTTCCCAGGCTTGAAGGAGGGAGGCCCCTAGTCCGGGCTTCTGAATATCACTTTTCACCTTCTAAGGCGATCCTTTATTACCCCTGTTCCCACTAAACCAGAAACTCCAGGAAAGAATTTTTGTGTTTTTATCTGCGGTGCCATCTTGGGGTCCAGCCTTTGCCACAGTAGATGGTGTCTGGGCTCAGAGCGCCCCCTGGCGGACACGAGCATAGCGGCGTCTCAGCGCCAGACTGGAGTGGCCACGCTGGAGGGGGACCCAGGTCTGGACTCTGCTTCTGGGCTGCTCAGTGCAGCCAGGCTGGAGCTGAGGCCAGGCAGGAGCGCAGGGAGTTGGGGGAACCTCTGGACAAAATCTGGGGGGATGGACAGGACAGGGCCTATGAAGACCAGTCCTCCTAGGGTTAAGAGGAGCGTGTGGGGACTTCCGGGCTCGAGAGAAAGAGGGGGGAAAGGGCTGAAAGGAGCAGAAAGCTGCGGACCAGGCCGGGAGGAAGCTGCTCTGGCTACTTAGCAGACTCCACGTGGCCCACTTTCCTTCCACTGGACGAGGAAGGGACAGCGGGGTGTTAAGTTAGTGGAGAGCGCACCCCATCCTTGGAGGAGTGCGGCACTGCCCCATTTTCCAGGTGGGGCCTCTGAGGGGGGGCGCTCCCCTGCAACTGAGCACAGCACCAGGGCCTGGACGCCTGGACACCTGGACACCACACACGTACTTGGGGGCTCAAGCAAGGGCAATTTGTAAAAGCTCCCCAGTGATTCTAATGTTCATTGGGGGTCCTGACCATGCCAGCTTCTGTGGACAAGCACAGGAGACAGGACTGGGCGGGGCGGGGGGGGCAGGGTTATGCCTCTCTCTGCTCACCCCTTCAGGGCTGCTAAATCCCCATCCCCACCCCAACCTGACCCCCAGGGCATTATGAAGGAGCCCTGGCCCTTGGGTCCCTCCCTCCCCTGTTCAGAAGGGTCCCTGTGAGTTCGGGAGCCTTGGGGTGTGCCGCCTGCAGCCCAGAGCCTGGTGCTGGGGGGTGGGGCCCTCCCTGGGAGGGGAGGTGGGGAGGCCTGAGACCTCCTTTCCTGCCTCTGCTTTCTCAGTCCCAGTGGGGAGAGGCTGATGGCAGCCCTCCTCTTGCAGCTTGGCATTGCCCCTCTTCCGGAACATTCCCGTGGATGAAGTGAAGTAACAGCCTGTTCACTCACGGGGTCGCTGAGTGGTTCATGTCTGCCTGACAGTCCTGGTCAGAACTGGCGGTCTCGTTGGGCACACGAGAAACCCTGTGCCCGCCGCCCAAGAGGCAGGAGTTGGAGACCCCAGTGCCTGCTTCCCATCACCCCATCCCTCCTGGGAGGTCCCAGGACTGGGCACTGGCCACTGGGCACTGGCCACTGGGCACTGGCCTGTTTCCTCCTGTGACTGCCCAGTAGCTCGGGTACCCTCTCCTGCTCCACAGGGGCCGGCTGAGTCCTCTGAAGCTCGGGTCCTCTTCCCAAGGCACTTCTGCCCTTCGTTCCCAGTCTACTGGGAGGACCCACGTGGCCACTGGCTTCTAGGTGCAGCTTCTGCAGGGACGGTGCCCTCACTACCGTGACAGGCTGCAGTTCTGTGAGCCACCAGCAGATGGCGATTATCTGACTATACCTGGGGTGGCGGGACCCAGGGGGCTTCTCGGCTGCTGGGTCCCACTGCCCGACTTTGTCCTGTCTGGCCACCTTAGGAATTCAGATCTGTGGGGCCTCCAGCACACAGCCACCACCTGCCGACTCCAGGCTGAGCTTGCTCACCTGGTGCAGCTGTCCTGTGCCAGCTCACTGCTCACAACCTCTGGCCTCCAGACCAGCTCTCAGGCCCAGCTCCCCGGCTCCCCTCCCAGGGTAGAGACATCGCTCCAGCTCCTGGCACCAACCAAGGGCACAGAGCTCAGTGCAGCCCACACAGAGCAGTGGACAAGAAGCCCAGGAGCCTTGGGGGACAGTGAGACCCCGTCCTTGACTAGGGCTGCTATACAGCTGTTGGCGCACAGCATCCTCTTCCTCTCTGTCACAGTCACAGCACCCCGAGGACCAACCTGGAGCGTGTTCACTGCACAGGTACAGTGAACCTGTGGGGGGTGGGTGGTCAAGATACCGCAGGCCTGGACGACCCAGCCAGGCTGGAGTGGCTCTCCCCCAGACGGGCAGTTGCGGGGAGTCCAGCAGAGAGGCAGGCCCAGCAGACGGGTGGGGTCAGGCCACGGTGCCCATCCCACCAGGCTTCTGGGAAGGGAAGGCCGGTGCCCCCACCCACCGCCGTCTCCCGCGTCACAGCTGCCCCCGCCCAGCTCCGGATGCCCAGTGCCGATTCCCAGCCATGACGGAAGCACCTGGCACACAGTGGGGGCTCGGTGCCTCTCAGCGGCCCCCACCCGCAGCCAGAGCCCCTCCATCTCTCTTCCTCCTGCCAGCAGCACGCAGTGCCCTGGTGACCACTTCCTGCATCCGGGGCTGGGAGCCTGGGGCTCTCTGCCCTCTGGCCGCATGGAGGGGCACCCGAGGGTCCCTGGCGCTTCGAGCGCAGAGGAAGAGGACTCAGCCCACAGGTAGATGGTGGCGGTGGCGTTTTACAGGAGCCGCGTCCCCGCGTTCGTCGGAGGCCACACGGGTTTCTCAGGACGGCCACGGCTCCGAGGTTTCCTGGCCCTCTCCGTGGAAGGTGCGTTGTGCTAGGAGGAAGGAGGAAGTGAGACTCCTGGAGGAGCAGCGAGGAGCAGCAGGACAGGCAGGAGTTTGGGGACTCCGGGGCTCGCCCAGGGCACCCCGCGCTCCGTGGCCATTCTGTGTGAGCGCCTGTCCCAAGGAGTCGGGTGCGCGCCTGCGCGTGTGTGGCGTGTAGGGTGTGTGTGTGTGCAGTCTGCACTCTGCCTGGGTCAGGAAGGGGGGCCCCTCCCCTGGCCGGCTGGGCCTGTTGTGTCAGCCCCAAGCTGGGGCCAGGGGTGCCTGCCCAGGAAAGGCCACAGTCTAAGAAGCTTCTGGCCAAGTTGAGAGCGTGTCCAAGACCGGAGCCACTCAGGGACTCCAAGGCCATGTGTCCACTTGGGGGTCCAGGCCTGGAGCTGGGGGCCCCCAGGGGAGCCCAGGCGGCCTCTCTGGGTGTGGCCCGGGCTGGAGGAGCACCCTGGCTCTTGCTCCACCCCAACCGCAGGAGAGGGAAGGCGGCCCTGGGCCGCACTGTGAGGAAGCCAGCCCGTGGGGGTGGGGGGCAGCCCCTGCTGGCAGTGAGGAGTGAGGCTGGGGCTCAGCAGGAGCGCGGGGCCGGGGGTTTTTCTCACCATACTCCCCCCTTCCCCCGCGTCCTTCATTTTCTCACTAGCTCTAGGAACAAAACCAAAGACAGCGGACGAGGAAGCAGCCAGGCCGAGGAAAGCAGAAGTGGGGCCTTGGCTCTGATCCTTCCTCCCGGGCAGCGCCCGGGCCCGGCCGGCTGCGGACATGGCCCCGCGGCACCAGGCCACATGGCTGCCCTCGGCGCTGCTGCTTCTGTGCGCCCCAGGTGAGGGGCCGGCCTGGACTCACTCTACCTGGGAGGGGCGGACCTAAGGGGTGGCAGAGGACCCCCGAGTCTGGGCTCCGTCAGACTCAGGACCGGAGGACGGAGGATGGACCTCACCCCCACAGGGGAAGAGCAGGAGGTCTGTCCCCTCTCGGCCGCTGGCCCCGAGAGCCAGGCTAGCTGTGGGGCGCCATGTGGGTGTGGGGCAGAGGAGGCTTTCGGATGGTGAAGGCTGGAGGGGGTGCTGGTGCCGAGGGCCGGCGGTTTGAAGGGAGGCGCCTGGGGTCCCCGGTCCGGGTGTGCAGACAGGAGCAGGCCATGGTCTCGGGACATGGACGGGTGCAGCGAGGGAGACTTGGGGTGCCATGGCTGAGGGCTACTGCCTCCGAGGCAGGGAGATGGGCGCGGGGCGGGGATGGGCGGGCAGAGCCACTGTCCAGATACACCTCTGAGCCCAGCGGGGCTCGCTCTCAAATAGCTCCTGTCGCCTGGTCTGGCCTCTTGCTCAGGGCTTCTAATCTTTTTGGTCGTTTTGCTTAAAGTGCATGTTCCTCTGGTTAGGTAGCCAGTTGTCTCTAGGGAACACTGGGTTTTGGGGTGTGTATCTGAGCCCCGGCCTCCTGTGCCTGGAGCCAGACAGCTGGGTTTCTGGCCTCCCACACCCTGTCTGTGTGTAGGGCTCAGTGTTGTTAGAGGAGCGCTTCTGTGCCCCCCCCAATCCTGACCATCACCACCCCACGCCTTCCTGCTCACCGGCAACACTCCTTGCTCTGCAGCTCGGACTGGGGGAATTGTCTGGGGAAATGGCAGGTAAAACCCTAAGCATGGGCCCTCCCTGGTGGCGCAGCGGGTTAAAGCGCAGCACTAAGAAGCTAAAGCCACTGCAGCTTAGTTCCATCCTTGCCCCGGGGGTGACCCACAGGGCGCGCCAGACCTCTCCCGCTGCTCCCCTCAGCAGGGGACTTCCTTAGTCGTCCTATTCTGCTCCCCGCTCTGTCTCTGGTGAATCTTCTCACTGCCCCTGCACCTCTGACCTGTACCCCAGTTCTGTATGCATAAATCAATAAATCTTTAAACAAACAAACAAAAAACCCAAGCATGAGAGCCAGGATGTGAGTTTCCCGGGAAGGAAGCCGCAGGCGCTGGGGGACTGAGGGAGACCCAGCGTGCTCTGAAGGCCCCCACAAACCGGGGCTGAGAAGTCAGCAGGGGCACAGTCTTAGGGAGCCTGCTTCTGACTTCTGAGCTGCTCGGGGCTGGGGCGGCCCTTGGGGGAGCAGGATGCTGGGCTGGGTTCTCCTGGTATAGAAGTGGGAGTCCCTGGGGGTGAGGGGGGCTGGGAAGCAGGAGAGGAGGTGAGGTCTGGAGGAAGAGGCTGCTGTGATTAGAATCTCAGGGGTGACCCCGGTTTGAACTGGTCAATGGGGGTGCTGACGAGAGATGGGGAACTTCAAGGGTGGTCCCAGGCCCGGGCCCGCCACCCACGGAGCAGCGGGCTCTGTCTTCCAGGCTGCTGGTGTCTGGACGGCCCCCGCGTGGTGACCGGCTCCGTGGGCGGGTCCCTGCGTGTGCAGTGTCGCTACCAGGACAAATACAAGGACCAAGTCAAGTACTGGTGTAAGGCTCCCAGCTGGGTACAATGTGAAAAGATTGTGAAGGCCAGCAAGTCACAGAGAGCGGGGAGGAGCGGCCGCGTGTCCATCCGGGACTATCCCGCCAACCTGACCTTCACAGTGACCTTGGAGAGGCTCACAGTGGCTGATGCGGGAACATACAAGTGTGGGATTGATGTATCATTCTCATCTGACCCCGTACGCCAGGTTGAAGTGTCTGTGTCCCCAGGTGAGTCCTAAGCCCACCCCACCGCCACCCTTTGTACCAGCCCTGGGCCACCGAGGAGGCTCAGGCGGGAACAGCTGAGGCAGGAATCGGATCAGAGACTCTTTGGGGGGGGGGAGGGAGGGCGGGGTCAGGAGGGCTTTCTGGAGGAGCTGACCCCCGCCCCCCATCAGTCCTGGGGGGAGCTGCTTGTCAGGTGAAGGGGAGGTGAGCACAGAGTTGTGAAGAGAGGAGCCCGCTGTGCGTCGGCCCACAGAATCGGGGAGCTGGGTGGGCCCGTGGGAGCTGGGCCGAGAGGGGCCTCTCCCAAATGCGCGTGAGCTCGCGGTGTAGACGGATCCGGATCCATCTGCAGCAGCAGTGGCTGTGGCTGGAGGAGGAAGAGACTGGGGGGGCGGGCGGCGCGGAGGTGATTCAGGGGCTCTCCAGAGGGCCTGGCCGCCTGGCAGATGAACTGGGCACCGTGGGTTGGGCAAACATGTCTGTTTGGAAATACGTGGCCAGGAGGGCAGTGGGTGGCTTCGGCCTGGGGTCCTGCCCCATCTAAGCGAGCATTTCCTGGGAGCAACTCAGCCAGCCGGGGGGGGGGGGGCGGCGCGAGGGGAGGATCCCTGATCTGATTTGTGTTTCTGCAGCATCAAGTCCAACCCTTCGTACAACTGTCACTGCAGCCACCACGTCAAAAACCACAGCGCAGCCGGCCACCCAGACGTCCACTGCCCTGGCCAGCCACGGCACCAGCCCCAGCCAGGACGACGCCCAGAAGAAACCTCAGTAAGGTGGCCCCCGTGTCTGGAGGTGCCTGCTCCTTGGGGAGCCCACGGCGGCCCCCCATCCCAGGCCCTTTGCTTCTGCCCCAGCTGGAGGCTGCGGCCAAATCCCCCAGCTCGGCTGGCTGAGGCCCCCGGGCCTGCTCTGCCCCCCGAGGGCTCAGGCTAGGGAGAAGCCGGGCGGCGGAGGAAGGTAACCGGTGGCAGGTCCTGCCGGGGTCGTCTAGGGACGAGAGACAAGCTTGGCGTCCTTCCAGCCAGACTCACGTGATTCGAGGCTTCGGGTTATCTAAACTCAGGATTCGCAACCGTTTGGGGACACAAACCGCTAGGGAAATCTGACAGCATTTAGAGATACTCTCCCCAGAAAATGCATGCAGTCATAAACCATTTCTGGGGTTCAAGACGCCCCCTGTCTGATTCTACTCGGTGTCTGCGGCTCACTTCTGTGGGGAGCCCCTGGCTAGCACAGACCCCCCAGGAGAAGAACTCAGGCTCAGGCCCACAAACCTCCTCACTTCAGATGCAGGAGCACTTTGGGGGTGCCTAGGTCATCACACCTTTGACCAATTGGCTACAAATTTGAGGGTTCCTCTGATCTCCTTTAGGTTTGGTAATTAGCTGGATAACCCACAGAACGCAGGCAAGCACCGTACTACAATGGCATCTTTACCGTAAAGGATGAAGAGCAGGACCAGCCAAATGCAGGCGCGTAGGAATAGTCTGAAATGGCCCCCTCTCCAGGGGGAGTCCAGGTGCATCACCCCCTGGGACAGCCACCCCCGGGGACATCATGCACCCCGGAAAAGCCCCCAAGCTTCCACATCCAGAGATTCTTTAAATGGGCACAACTGATTGAACCATAGGCCACCCCCAGCCCTCTCCCACTCTCTGAAGGTCAGGCTGGCTCAGAACCCACACCCCCAGTCACATGCCTGGTCCTTCAATGACCCATCCTGAGTCATCTCATCTCAGAACATAAACTTGGGTGTGACCCAAGGGGTGCATGAGTAACAAAGAATTCCTATTACTAGGGAAACCCCGAGATTTAGACCCAGGAACAAGGCTACTGAGATTCCTTATGCTCGGCCACCTGAAGCCCTACCACAGGCTGCAGGCCATCCCACATCACAACCTTAATACCAGCAAGGTCAACTTCAGGTCCCAGAGGTGCCATTTCCAGAAACTGGCCTCCAGATACACACATGGGGGCAGAGGTTGGTTTCTGGGTCTGAAGCCTGTGCTTTGAGGGGAGAGCATCTTTAAGAAAAACTTAAAACTAGGCAAGAAAGAAGTAGCCAAAAGCAAGTGTGTGCAATAAATCAGCTTTGTTTGTCGACCAGTGGAAGGCAGAGCTACAGGGTGATTTTTGCAACAGTGTATGTAATTGCAAAAGATGGGGATCCTAGCCATTCAGAGGAAAGACAAACATTTATGGTCTGGCCATGTGGTGGAATACTATGCAGCCATGAAAGGGTGTGTCTTTATGAACTGACATAGAAGGATCTCCCAGAACTCCTCCTCCCTATGTGTCACTTGATGCTTCAGCTGATGACAGACCATATTCGGGTGACCAGTCCCATCCTGAATGTTCTCATCTTAGCATACACTTGGGTGTGACCCCGAGTGGTACGGTGGAGGCTCTGTGTCTAACCTGGGCACGTAGTAAGACTGCATCTGTCTGTGTAATCATACCCCGGGACACTCAGCCGTGTTTCTCAGGATCGTCGGTTAAGTGATACCTGACTATCGTTACACTCTGCTCCCTTTGTGTGAAAAAAGAGGAAAATTATGTGCATGCATATTTGCTTATATCCAAATGAAGAGTTCTGGATGGTTCTTAAGTATGTGTGGTTATGTAGGGGTAACTGGTAGAGACATGTGTAGAAAGGAGACTTGATGATATCTTTGTTTTTTTTCAATGTGGCTGTACCTGGGCATTGAAACAGGAGGGAAGGCATCGCCCCGACCCCCCGCTCCGTGTCCCTCAGGTCCCCCATCCTGCTTTCCCTGTTAGCCCTTGTGCTGCTTTTATTGCTGGGGATCACGCTGCTGGCCTGGAGGATGATTCCGAGGCAGGTCAGAGGTGAGTAAGCTCCGGCAGCCTGAGTCCCCAGGCGGGCAGGTCCTGACCACACCCTAAGGTCTTCAGGGTGTCCTTGTTCCCCAGTGAACCCCGAATGCAGACCCTCAAAATGCAGGTCCGGGCTGGCCCAGAGGACGTGTCCCAGAAAGGGCCCTTTTCTGCATTAGGGCCTGGGGTGTTTGCCCTGGGAAGCTGCGTCCCTCTTCTATTTAAAATCCTCAGAAGTTGGGGCCCCCAGACGGTCACCAAGTCCCCCAGTCTGGCCTCCCATCCCGGAAAGCAGCCATCTCCAACTTTTTGTCACTTGGCAAAAGCCGTAACCTGCTCCCCCCTCTGTGTTCCCTGTGGAAATTTGGGGTGCCCTTCAGCTCACCCCTGACTTCCTGGCTTCCTTTCCTGACCCCGGAAAGGAGCTCACCCTCTGGGCGAGCCCCTAGCCCTGTGCCCTTGCCCGCCCCCCGAGGTCACGGTCCCCTGGAGAAGGTGCACTCGGTATTTTAGGGGTTGGTGCATTGTTTAACATCTTCGGTAGCCATGGGTCCCTGGGGAGTCCAGGCGCCCTTCGGGCTCGGGGTGGCCACGCCTGTCTGAGTAGGGCTCAGGACAGCAAATGGAATAGGTGACAGAGTGTGGCCTCTGCGGCTGGCCAGGGTCCGTGTCCCCTGCGGGAGGGACCGTGGCCTGGGATCAGCGGGCCGCCGAGGGCCCTGCCTGCGCCAAGGTTCTTGGGTCCTGGGCAGAGGGGCTCCCCTGTGTGTTGTTGACGAGCCAAGCTTTTCAAAGGCTGCAGGGGGTGGGGGGCGGGGTGCTCCCTCCCAGTTGCAGCACCAAGGGTGGGGAGGGGAGGGGTGCAAAGTGGGGGCAGGCGGGCCTCTGCCTGACACTCTCAGCTCCAGCCACCTCTAGGGGTCCAGCCCCCCCAGCACGCAGGTGTTTTGAAAGGAGGCAGGTGCGTCTGCCGGGAATACAAGCTCTTTCCCTTCCCCACGGGGTGTCAGCCCTCCCCACTCTGCCTCAGGTCACGTGAGGAAGCTGGGAAAGTCCCAGCCTGGTGGCCTCCCATCTGAGTCCTGCCCTTTCACTTAGAGAACCCCCTAAATAAGGAGCTTGTGATTGTTGTCGAAAATTGGAAAAGTAAAAGTACCAGGAAGAATCTCAGTTCCCCACACTAGAACCGAAACTCCCACCGCAGAAACACGCCCCGGCCTCGGACAGGCTCGGCCCCCCCCCGGCCTCCCACACCAGGCGGCCTGCTGCGTCCAGGGCCTGCCATATGGTCCCTCAGATGTGGGGCCATACGTGGGCCATACGTTTCTGGGGTCGGAGGCATCTTTTCTGTGGTGGCGTCCAGGGCCACGGGCTGCGGGCTTGCTGGCCAGGCCCCTGCACCAGTGACCTTTGCTGTGTGTGCATCCGCTGGCCCCCGGGGACACGGCCAGGGTGCAGGGACTGGGGCTCGGCAGGCCTGTGAGCCCCGAGCTGTGAGCCCTCGTGGCTACCTCGGTCCCGTCAGTGAGGGGCACCCCCCAGGCCAAGGGCTATCGGGGCAACCTATCCTCCCGCTTGGCATGGCCCAGGCAGGCCTGGGTCTCCGTGAGGACACTTCGTGTTATTTTTACTTCTAGGTCTTGCTGAAACAGGTTTCCCGGCAGCGCTGTCAGGGCATCTGGGTGGGGCCCCCAGCTGTGGGGCCCCCAGCTGTACACTTATTATTGTTGGAAGCACAGCTCGGGCCCTCCCTGGTGGCGCAGCGGGTTAAAGCACTGCACGATGAAGCTGGCCACAGCCCCTGCAGCACGAGTTAAGTCCCCTCCGGGTGCAGCAGACCTCTCCCATCTCCCCGCTGCTCCCCTCAGCAGTGGGTTTCAGTCAGTCTGCCTGTTCTGCCCCCCACTGTCTCTGGGGAGTCCTCTCACCCCCCCACCTCTGGCCTGTACCCCGCTGCTATTATGCATGAATCTTTTTTTTTTTTTAAAGCACACACTAAAAGTTGCCATCTAGCCACTGGGGTTACAATATGGGGGGACCCAGGCCCCTTGGCAGGAAAGAGCCCCCAGGCTTCCTCCTGTCCGCAGGCCCTTCCAGAGGTAGCTCCTTTCCTGCCTCTCCCGCCCGACGCCCCTACATGTGTGTTTCGAGCTCAGCTGGGGTCTCCCTAAGCTGCCGTCCAGCTTGCTCATTATGTGTGCACCACTCCGTCCGTCATTCTCTCTCCCTCTCGCTCCCTCTCCTCCTTCCACACTGAGGCCTGAAGTGGTAAGTGTCCCCCACTCCCACCCCTCCCCCCCACAACACACCAAGTCTCTAGAGAAAAACTTGGCTGCAGGTGAGCCTTAGGGTCAGATCTTAGGGACCCCTTCTCTGCCCTTATTCCGGGGCTCCACCTCCTCACGCTCCTCTTTTCTCTTCAGCCAGTAAGAACTCAGGGCCACACCAGAACCCCGGTCAGGTAAGGAAGGGGTTGCAGGAGGGTGTAGGGTGGCTGTGGGCTGACAATCCGCTCAGGCAGGGGAGGCCTGCTGTGCATGATGGCTGAGGGGGTGCTCGCCCTGAGCACCCAGAACTATGGTTACTGGGGCCTGGTCCAGCTCTGGCCATCTGTCCCTCTTCCCAAGGAGTGTGCAGCGAAGGAGCGTCCTGACCTGAGGCATTCAGATACTGCCCAGGGGGCAGGGGCGGGGGTGAGGGTGATGGGGATGGGGTGGGACAGGCAGAGCGGAACGGTGGTGGCACAGAGCGAGGGCAGAGGCACGTGAGAGCCAAGGAGAGAGCGCCCCTGGGCTGAACCAGAGGGTCTGCGTGGACCCCCACTGATACCCAGACCCCCTTTCCCCAGGGCGAGCCCCACTATGCAAACCTGGAGCTGAAGACCCGGCCCCGTCAGAGAGCGTGCGGGCACCCCGGGCAGGCGGAAACGGAGTACAGCACAGTGGTAAGTGCCAGCCCGGCCTGGCACGGGGACCCTCGGCCACACAGAAAATGGGCTGAGTGTGGATTTTGCCAGAGCTTAGTGCCATTGTGGTCGGGAGTGGGGTGGGAGGTGGAGGTGCCATCGGGACCTTCTCGACAGTCCACGAGGGCAGAATGACGAAGCCCTGCTGTCCCCAGCCCCCGTAAAGCCTCAGGCTTCTTGCTGTTTGGGCCTCAGCGTCTCTTGGCATCAACTCCGCTTCCCAGGTTTTATCAGGGACCCCTACGACCTCAGGCACAGAGCTGCTGCCCAGTGGTGGAAGAGCTCAGGCCGAGGCCGTGAGGGCGAGCACGGGACAGGTTTAAGCCCCAGACTTAGACACGCGGGCTAGCGACGTGTCACCTTCCCAGTGGTGACGGGGATGCCAGCACGCGCCCGGGGACCCCGGCCCTGATGTCGGGGCTCTGTGCCGTGTCTGGCCAGGTGGGGAGCAAGGTGAGTGGACAGACCTCATGCGAGACAGAGGCCCCGCCCGAGGGAGGGCAGCACCCTGCTCCCCGGACCCAGAGCCGGGGCCCCACCTGACGCCCGGGTCTCTGCAGGCAGCCCCCCAGGAAGAACTGCACTACACCACCGTGGTGTTCGACACCCAGACCCAGCACCCTGCGGCCGGAGGGGGGCCGTCTCCCAGGCCCGCGCTCCAGGAGCCCGAGTATAGCGTGGTGCGGAGGACCTGAGCGGGAGGCGGCCTCGCCCCGCGGACTCCATGGCCAGGGGCCTGCTCCCGGCCCTCCCCTGTCCGCTGCCGGGTGGCCGAGGCTGCAGCTGGCTCCCTTGGGTGTCCACTGGCCACTGTCAGTCCACGGGCTTCTTTGAGGACCGGCAAGAAGGGGTCCGGAGGAACCCGTGGGACCCCTCCGTCCACTGTTCTTGCCCTCTCTCCCCTTTGCTCTGCGGGGGTCAGCCCTGCAGCGGCTCTCGGCCGTGCTTGGGCAGCTCTGCAAACCTCAGCGCCTGGGAGTGTCTGGCGCGCCGGGGGCAGGGGAGGCGAGAGAGCCAGGAGCACACGCTGCCGTGAGCGCACCCGGGGCCTCGAGCGCAGGGAGGAGCCGCCAGGAGCACACGCGGCCGTGAGCGCACCCGGGGCCTCGAGCGCAGGGAGGAGCCGCCCGGGGCGCAGAGGTGGAGCCTGCTGGACTCCTTACAGAGATCAATAAAGTGCAGAACATCCTCAGAGCGTGGAGAAACGTTACTTAAATGACCCCCACTCTGCACCCGAGACGGGCCTGGCCCGGGCCCCGGGCGGCAAGGGCCGGCTCCCTCCTGCAGCTCTGGCCCCTGGTGCCGGCAGGCCCCGGCCTGCTCTCAGCCTGCCCGCCACCCTCCGGGCTGTCAAAACGCAGGGGGTTCCTCTCTCAGCAAGGCCTGGACCTGTCTGATCAAAGCCAGGGGTGTGTCACTTACACCCAGGGCTTTCGGCACCGACATGACAGCCACAGTGTGCCTTTGGGGGGCTTTGCTGAGACGTGGACCCGTGGCTTCCAGAAGGTTCTTCCAGGGGTATGTGGGCCCCAAAGGGTGGGAAGGCTCTGCTCTGGTGGCTCCTTTGGATTTTTAATTATTCAAAAATGTGTGAGTCTCCCAGATACTTCCTCTCTTTCTTACTAACATTCTGAGATGGAAAAGGGGAAACAGACGTAGACACACACACAGACACGCTCCGACATGCGCTGGAGACAGTCTCCAGCCAGGGCCCCGGTGAAGCCTGGCCGGGGAGGTCCCCCGTCCTCCGCGGGCGCCGGCGCCTCGGCCCCCCGCTCTCCTGGGCCCAGCGCCGGGGGCCACCCCCAGCGGCCCACCTGCCCCCCTGTTTGTGTTTCACAACATCACACAGTCCGCGGCTGGCCTGGGATGGCGTTCACAGAGCGTCTCCTCTGCAAGCGTCAGTCTTTTGGGAGTGACTTTCTCAAAAAACAGGATTTTTTAAATGCACAAAAATGTGTAAAGATAAACTAATATAATATAAAAAATAAAAAATAATAAATAAAAGGCAAAAAAAAACAGGATTTTTTTTTTAAAGATTTATTCATTTATTCGTACAAAGCTGGGGTCGAGGCCAGAGATGTGAAGGGTGAGAGGCTTCACCAGAGACAGAGTGGGGAGCAGAACAGGCAGATCGACGAAGTCCACTGCTGAGGGGAGCAGCGGGCGGGTCAGGAGAGGTCTGCCCCCCCAAGGGGATCTCCTCCCGGGCAGGCGGGGATCGAACTCATGCGGAAGTGCCTTAAGCTTCTTTGTGCTGTGCTTTAACCCGCTGCGCCACCAGGGAGGGCCCAAAAAACAGGATTTTTTAAATCTCCATGTTTCGCAATTTGCAAGCAAAACGTGAATTCCAAAACGGCTTATAAGACCGTGAGACAGCACCGTGCACAGCCACCCAGGGCTCAGCCCACAGGACCTTCACCAGCGGGAGGCTGGCGTCTGGCCCGGCGCACCCCGTGCCCAACCACAGAAGGGGCGGAGGCCTCGGGGAAGCCCACTAACTCTCGAGATTTCGCCGATTTTACACCAGCTGGGCCTCTTCGACCCAGCGTGAAGATGGGCTGAATTTTTTTTTGAAAGATTTATTTATGTTCACAGAACTGGGGTGTGGACCAGAGGTTGCAGGGGGTGGGAAGACTCCCCAGAGACAGAGCGGGGAGCAGAGCAGGCAGGTGGGGAAGCCCAGTGCTGGGGAGCAGCGGGGGTGCGAGGGGCCTGGGAGATCGGTTCCGCCCGCTGCGCAGGCGCCCGCCGGGGGGAGCGCAGTCCTTGTTTTGGCCAGTCCTGTCCCCGGACCATCGGACACAGCGATTGCTGCTTGGAAGACAGAATTCACCTGCTGTAAAATCCGGCCCTTCCGCGTGTGCAGTCAGCAGCTCAGCTTCACCAGGGCCGCTCCGGGCGCCCCCATTTCCTGTGGCCTCCTCAGTCTCTCTGGCTGCTGTGCCCCCGCACCCCAGGGGGGCAGACAAGACAGGCAGGTGCCTGCTGCGGCCTTCCTCTGCCCTCCTGCCCTTCACCTGCAAGCGTCCCCAGGGCGCCCGCTCCGGCGGAGGACTGAGCGTTCCAGAAATTGCAGGGAAACGTCTGGGAGAAGCGTGGACCCTCCTGCACCTCTGAGGTGAGCAAAGGGGGAGCGGGGGACGGAGGAGGGGGGACGGAGGAGGGGATCCAGGCAGAGCAGCCGGCAGCCGGGATCCATGCGCCCTGCCTCCCCGTCCTGCGGGGCTCCGGCTCCCTTACTCAGAGTGGCGTCTGTCCCCCCCGCAGAGACCCCCAGGCTTTCTCAGGGCCCCTGCCCAGCCTTACCCCGCGATGCGCACACACAGGGCGGGTTTTTTTCCTGCCTCAGCACTGTCAGAGAAGAGAAAGCCCAGAGCGGCCTTGCAGCACCGCCGGGCTTTGTCCCAGAAGCGCTGGGTCTTCCTAGCTCGCCAGGCCGCAGGTGCTCCGGGGCTCACCTAGGCGTGTTCTGCAGCCGGGAGGCCCCTCCGGCCGCCCGGCTCGGCCCGGCTCACGCAGGTGTCTGGTGTGTGTGTGTGTGTGCCGGGGCCGAGGCGCCGGGTCTGCGCGTGTCCCGAACACAGCTCCGCTCTGGGCCACAGGGCCTCCCGCCCCCCCTCCGACTCCAGAAGGCGGTGGGGGGGGGGGGAGCCTCCGCATCCGCCCTCCCAGGCTCTGCCCCTCTTGGGTATAAACAGCAACATGCAGGGCCTCCCTGGTGGCGCAGGGGCTAGAGGCGCCAGGCCCTGGCTCGGACGCCCCCCCAGGCTCCCAGACGCTCCCCCTGAGCCCTCTCTCCGCTGGAATGGGGCCCAGGGTGGGATTTCCGTTCACTGTCTGCGGGCTGGGTCTGCTCAGACGGCCAGAGGACAAGCTTGTAGCGAGGGGCTCCCCGCGGCCTGCTTCCACCAGAGCACGGCCCCCACGGCGAGGAGCAGGATGGGCACCTTCACGAACACCAGGAGCACGTGGCGGGTCCTGCGCGGGCAGTGGGGGGCAGCACGTCAGAGCCCGGCTGGTGGGTGGCGGCCAGCCCAGCGCAGCCTGGGACCTGGCCCCCAGCCCTGCTCTGAAGACCCCACCCGCCTCTCCCTGGCCCAGACTGTCGGCCTGCCCCCAGCTCCTTGCTCTGCTTGCCCTGGTCCCCCTTCTTTCCAAGGTCACCCCTGGGGCGCCCTTTGCCCGAAGCACCTCCCACCCTGTGGAGGTCGCTGCGGGTCACCTGGGCCAGGCTGCCCGGCTGCAGGGCCCTGGCTCCCGCAGTGCCAGCTCAGATGCTAAACCACCCGTCTCGAGTCACAGCCTGTCTCCCCAGGGCACCCTCGAGGACGTCATGTCTTGGGGCGCCAGGTGAACGGGCAGGGGGTGCTCACGGCTCTGTGAAGTGCTGTCCAGGGAGGGCTGGAGGCCCTGACACGGGGGGGGGGGGTGCACTTGGGACCTTGACAGCAGCACCAGGGCGGAGCTGGCTGCCCCATGAGAGGCCCCAGGTAGGGCAGGAGAGGGCCGCAGCCACTCACCTGGCGTGGGGGCCGGAGGCGACCGCTGTGTGGTTGCTGGTCGGTGGGTTCAGATCTGTTCCCTCTAGACGTGGGGCAACAGCCGCAGGTTAAGGACCCAGAACGGGGGTGCGCCGCTCTCCAAGCCTCTCCCCCTGGATCCGGAAACTTCGACCTTTTGGATATGACCCTCACACGCAGGGGCAAGTCCTTGGGCCACGGCATGGTCACCTCGCCCTCCGTGTCCAGGTGGAGCACAGAGCACGTTTGGGCGGGCGTGGGCGTCTGGCTCATCGGGGCTCCTCTGCACGCTCCTTCCTCGTTCCCCTCTAAGTGGGACTGTTGGTGGGGTGTGAGGGTGCAGGGGTAATCCCTAGTGCCTGAGCAGAGTCAGGAATGGGGCTGCGGAAATGAGACACCTAGATATTGGGGTGTTACGTGGGGGAGGGCTCCAGGGGGCCGGTGGATAACAGGACACATCCGGTCACACCGTGAACATGGACTGTGATGTCCGAACGTCTTTGGGGCACAGAAGGAGGGGTGCAGCAGCAGGGCATGGACCCCAAATGCTCCAGGGGGTCAGGAAGAGGAGCCGCCCGGAGCAGGCAGATGCTGGCGTTATGCTCAAAGCCTTCCTACCTTCCGGCTGGACATGTCCTCTGTCACCTGAGCTTGGACCCTCTGACCCTTGGTCACCCTCATGCAGATGAAGCAAAGGAGGGGACGGCGACTCAGAGAGGGGCGGCCCTGACCAGTGTCCAGAGCCATCTGGGTGGCCAAGGTCCTTGGGTTCAGCACTGGGACCCCCTCCACGCGGTGGCCAGTCAGGGCTGGGCCTCAGAGACTGGCCACTGCCCGGAGTGGTGCCCTGGACCCTCTGCCGGCGCCCGCAGCCTTCTGGGGCTCTGACCAGAGAATGTGAGGCGCTCAGAGCCCTGGCAGCTGCAGGAGAGCAGAGCTGGGCCATGGGTCATCGAAGTGGGGGTCTGTGTCCCCACCAGCCCTGCTGCGCCTTAGTCAGGCACCTCCAGGAGACCTGAGGACGGTGACCCAGGCAGGGCTGCTCCCACGCTGTCTGTCCTCTGCCACGTGCCCTGGCTGCTCTCATTGCTTCTCCCCAGGCCCTGCCGCGGGCCCCTGCCCCGCCCCAGGGAGGCTGGAGGGGCCCACAGCTTCGGCAGACCCAAGCCTCGGCCTCTCCATGCAGACAGAAGGCGCTCACCTGGGAAAACGGTCACTTGGACTTTGTCCCCTAAGTCAGCTCCGACTCTCTCAATCCCACACCAGTAAGTGTCCGTGTCGCCCAGCCTGAGCGCCTCCATGGTCACGGTGAACACGCGGTCTCCCTGATGGTCCCTGATGGACAGGCGGCCCTCCCTCGCCTCCTGCTCTGTCCCAGTGGTGCTAACGAGGATCCGGCAGCTGCTCCAGGCAGCCCCTCGGCACCAGTACTTCACGTAGTTCCCCCAGCCGTGGCCATAGCGACACGGCACGGTCAGGGATCCTCGCTCCCAGCCGCTCACAGACTCCGAGCCTTGGCGGGAGAAGCACCCTAGAAGACAGAACCCCAAGATACAGCTCCTGTCCCCTGAGCCAGGCCGGACCAGGACCCCGGGGATGGGGCCGGGGGAGGGGTCGGGTGACACGAGGCTGGGGCACCTGCACACTGACTGCTGTGGCCAGTGCCCCGTTAGTTTTCCAGCCCAAGGACACGTCTGGGCTGTGCGGGGGCCAGTGCTGAGGACAGGGCTCAGCACAGGGCGCCGAGGCTGAGGCCGGCAGCAGGGAGGCGGTAAGGAGCACCGGGCTGGACGTCCCCGGCTCCGGGCAGCACCGAAGGCCTGTCCCTGCTCAGCTCTCTTTGTTCCAGTCACTCTGAAAAGGCAGCTGGACATGAAACGTCAAGGCGGTCCTCTAGGCCATAAGCAATTCGATCCCTGTCTCTCCAATTGGCATTCGCGGTGACAGGTGGCCCGAGCTCCGGTCTTCGGCCACACGAGGACTCAGGGCCTCAGGCTGAGGTCCGAGAATGGACCAGGGTCCAATGGACAGGGGCTCTCCCACCCGCCCCCAACTGACTGCGGCCCCCTCTGCCTCCCGCGTCCAGCCCTCCAGCTTCGCAACAACAGGGCCCTCTCGCCCTGGTGTCCACAGCAAGTGCCCTGACAGGGACTCAGCGTGCCCCGTCCCTCCCCGTCACATACTTAGATCACGTGCCGAAGTAGCCCAGGAGAGATGGCCGAGCGCCGCCCACTGCAGGGGAGGGTCCGATCCGCCCCAACGGCCGGTGACAGCGCAGCTGGGAGCCGGGACGTCGTGGGGCAGACAGGCAGGACCACGGGCCCTGGCCGGGCACCGGCCGCCCCAGCCTGCAGCGCCGCTGGCCACGCCCCTCTGCTCCCAGCGGACCAGCCGGCCCTGGGCTTTGAAAGGCTCCAGCGAAGCCCGAGGGAGCTGAGCCTGCCCTTGGCATACCCTGTCCAGCTTCACATCTCGCCCACATCCTGGCAGCGCAGGCGGCCACGGGCCAGAGCTGGTGCTCTGGGCATCAGCGCACCTACCCCTGGCGTTGGGAAACCGGCACCTTGTGCAAGCTCCCGGCCTCGCTTCCTGATTTGTAAACCGCCTGTGTGGCCTCCGCTCCCCCGCTCCCACGCCCCGCTGGAGAGACCAGCCGGGGTGTGCCCAAGCCCGCTCCGCCACGCGCCCCCCAGTGGCCGGGAGCTCGCCGGGTGCCCGGATTGTGGTTGCGGCACCCCAAGGGCCCCAGCTTCTCAGCAGCCATCACCCCTGTGCGTCACCAAGGCTGATGCTCCCAAACGGTCCCCTCCTTGTTTCCGGGGAAGGGGGCGCAGCAGGCCCCTCGCCTCTCCCACCAGGCCCCCCTGGCCATCCCCCCGGCCTCTCCCACCAGGCCCCCCTCGTCACCCCCTCTCCCGCCTCTCCCACCAGGCCCCCCACGGCATCCCCGGAGGCCGCTCCCTCCCGTCAGAAGGGCTGGGGGTGCTTCGGTTTGGCTTCCGAGTCCTCTGACCCTCCAGATGCGCCTTCTCCCGCCAGTGCCACTTCCTGCTGGCACTTCCTCCCCTGGCCCTTGCTCTGCCCCGAATCACCCCGCTTGCCTCTCCCCTGGCTCACGCAGCCCCCCAGCAGCTGTGTCTTGGCTCATGTCCTTCCTCACCTGGGCGCCCCGTCTCCAACCCCGCCCACCTCAAGTGCCCTCCAGGTCTCCGGAGGTTCGGCCTTGGCAAGGGGCCGCTGCTTCCAGGGGGCTCCCCAGCGCTGGCGCACCCTGACCTCCAGGCCTGGCCTCCTGGCCGGACGCTCCGGCCCAAGAACAGACGCCTCACCCCAGCCCTGTGTCTCCCAGCAAAGGCACCGCTCACTGATGCTGCCCTAGAGAGTAGCTTGTCCGTCATGGCCTTGAGTTCACCGGGATTGACCACGGCTTCCACGGCCGTGGACGCGAGGCGCAAGGACGCCGTCGCAGGGCTCAGGAGGCGTCGGGCGCGGAAAGGCAGCAGATGCTGTTTCATGCTGTCAGTGGCCACGTGGGGGACGTGGGGACGGGCAGTCCTTGCTTTGGGATGCGGACGCGGAGGGGAAGGAAAGAATGAAAAAGGCCGCGGTAGGAAGACATCCCGAGATACTGCCTTGGGTTAACAAAAGGTACCTGACGGGGCCTGGGGTTCACGTTTTGAGGAAACTGCTCCGAGCTCTTCACAGCCTTCAGCGCCGAGATTCGGCTCTAGGGGAAGTGGGGCGAGCGTCTAAACCCCACGTTTCAAAGCAAAGACTGTTTAAATGTCAGTTTTTCTTTCCTGTGCAACTTCTCTGTTCCCATCGGTGCTCGGGGAAGCTGTCACCTGACAATGCCCTGTGGGGGGTAGCCCTCCCCAGGCGCCTGGGAGGGCGCTGGGGCGCAGAGCAGACGCAGAGCAGACTGAGCCAGGAGCTGGGGAGCGCTCAGGAGGAGGTGCCCCGCGGGGTGTGCAGCGGGCTGGGGCCTCCCATTCTGCACTTTGGGGCAGGGTCTCCAGCTGGTGCCTGGAATTCCCAGGAACACTTCCCGGCAGCCAGAGCCGGCGTCTGTCTGTCCTTCCACCTGCTGTGTCCTTCCCCCGGCAGAAGTGACAAGTCCTGGAGGCTGGGTCATCCAGATGCCCACTGACCACCTCCCTGAAGCGAGCCCCCAGGGGCTCACGGCCGCTGCCGGTGAAGACGGGGTGGCGGCTTTGCCTGCACCCCTACTGACCTCCAACACGGAGGGTCTCAGCCTTTGCCTGTGAGCATGAGGGTCAATCTGGGCGGGACTGTGCCTGGGCGTGAGCGAGTGTGTGTGTGCATCGAGCGTCTGCGTGTGCGCGAGTGTGAGGGTTACGAGGATGAGTGTGACCGTGACGGACGACAGGCGTGGTGGTGGCTGCAGGCGGGGGTGCGCTGCCCCTGGGAGGGGCTGTGCGAGTGATGCCAGTGTGGGCACACGGCCCCGGGCCCTCTCCGTGGCCTCCAGGTGAGCTGCACCCTGTGATTCAGGGCGGGAACAGGCGGGCAGAGCTGGAGCCCCGGGAGGGCAGCCGGAACCGCTGTCCTGCGGGCGTCCCGGCCGCCTGGAGTCCTGCTTGGTGGCCAGGCACCGGCAGTCACCGTGATGCCTCCGCCCTCACGGTGGCCGGCAGTGTCATCTCGGGGCTTCTTTATCATCAACAAAGCCAACCAGGGCCGCAGTCATCAGGGCGCGCCCAGAGCCCCCCGCTGCCAGCCGACAGAGCAGGGCAGAGGGCCGCTCCGGACTCCAGGTCTTAGAGCAACGCGGGGCCAGGGCCAGAGCAACGCGCCCCAGGCCTGGAACTCGCTCCCTGACGCCCTCTCTCCTGCCGGCCAGTCCGTCTGTGCCCCTCCCTCCCATGAAACCACACACACTTCCAGATGGTTCCCGAATGTCCTCGGAGGCTGAGCAGGGGTTTTGCATGAGAAGAGGTGCCCGGCCCCTGCCGACCCCCACGGCTCCTGGACAGTTGTCTCAGGCCCCGGGCCCGGCTACAGCCCGCAACCCCTCGCCCCTTGCATTTCCGGCCCCAGGTGCAGCCGCTGTCTGCACACCAAGAGCTTCCCTGTGGGCCACCTGTCGGCAGGGGCCATGTGCCGGCCGGGCCAGGCGCCCCCGGACGCTCTCCTCTGTCCGAAGTGCCCGCCCTTCGCTCCGAGCCTTGCCAAATCCGCGGGTTCCGGTGGCGTCCACCGCGCCAGCCCACCTCTCCGGCCCCAGCCCACGCCGTCACAGCCTGCCTGGGTGCTGGTGATGTGTCCCGCCCACCCCGTGAGCACTTGGGGTCCTCCTTCGCGTGGCCCAGTTTACTGCGCCCTCCATGCTCCGGGGCAAGCCCAGGACAGCGCAGGACCCCCGTGCTGTCGCTGAGCCCCAGCCTGGCTCGCGCCCTGGGGGCACCTTTTCCCCGTGGCCGAGTCTGTGCGCTGCCCTGTGCCGCAAGCCGGAGACCCCCTGCCACACTCACCTGGGAGGCTGAGGAGGAGAAGAGCGGGGGGCAGCCACATGACTCCCCCGGGCCCCTGCTGAGCCCTGAGCGCACTGGGGGGTCCCTGGCAGCCCTGGAAGCGGTGTTGGAGCCACCGCGAGGTGCCCGCTCGCCCTGGTCCTTTGCGGGCACTTCCTGCCCTTAATTATTCAGCAGCAGGGTGTGTCGCTTCTGGCAGGGCGGGGGCACAGGGCTGGGACTCTGCAGAAGGCAGCGAAGAGGAAGCAAGGGGCAGGGGCAGAGGGCACGGCCTTTCGGGGCCCGCGGGGTGCCCAGCGTGGGTGCCAGCTCCAGGTGGTTCTCCACGGCGACGGTGAGGCCGGGCACGGGCTCCCCACCCCCAGCACACGCAGCCGTCGGGCGAGCGCCCGGGCGGGGCCCGTGCATTTCGCAGGAGGCACAGCCAAGGGCATAAAGAGCAGGCGGGGACCCCACAGGCCTGGACCCTAAACCCAAGCACCGTTTCAAGCGCCGTGGCCCTGGGCCACTTGGCCTTTCTGAGCCCCGGTCCGCCGCAGTGAGTTCCGTCCGTACCGCGAATCTGTAGTCTCTGTTCATTGTCTCCTCAGAGCTCTCATGAGACAAACCTCAGAGACGTAGCTGAGGAGTTGGGGCTACAGGTCCCCGAGGGACTCTGGTGGGGGACGGGGGCGGGGCTTGGCAGTGGGTGTGTGTTGCAAACCCACCGAGGTGTGCATTGACCACTACGTTTGCCCGTCGCCCGAACGCAAGAGACTCGGAGACGCAAGAAACTGAAGCTGGAGCCTGGTGGGGTCTGGAGTCCCGAGTCTGTTTATTAGGACCGCCCATGGGTATAAATAGGGTCCGTAGGTGCAGGGAGAAACAGGAAATGTGCCGACGCAGGGGGTGGGGTGCCTGTTTGTACCGGGCCTGGGGCTCCTTGTAGCTTCTGCTTGAAACAAAGCAGCGGGCTGCAGCTGTTTGAGGACAGAGCGCACTGTGCCTGCTGGCTTGTCGGCCTCACTGGGAGTGCGCTCACCCAGGCGCAGCATCAGCCAGGGCGGACAGGTGCGCCTGAGGTCCTGCAGAGTTAGCCACAGGTGTGCTGTGGGGACACGCATCTGAGGGTGATCCTGCACCCGTGAGTCACATGCAGGGTCGCGAACAGCGTTACCCCATGAAAATCAAGTGTCACGAGCATACGGCGGGAAACTGCAGTGACGTGCAGAGGACAGAGGCCCGGGCAGGGCAGCATGACCACGTCAGGGGCCCGGGCAAGACTTGGCACTACATGTGAGCCCGGTGCAGGGGGCTGAGGGGGCTGAAGGGGCTGAGGGGGCTGAGGGGGAGGCTCCCCACCAGCAGCACAGCACATCGTAACGGGGACCTGACAATGTAATCAGGGCCTGGCTCGGTCCCGGAGCTCAAACTCACGAAGACCAGTCTCGGGGCGCAGTGGAGGGTGTTTCTCCCCACATGTCCGAGTCCGCGGGGAGGGCGCGGCTCCCCAGGAAGGCCTGTGGTTGTGGGGGGTCCGGGCCCCTGAGAGCAGCTGGGAGAAGGGCGAGGGCTCGCACAGGTGCCCAAAAGCACGGGAAACCGCGAGGGGCCGGGGAGACCGTGGGGGAGCTGCCCGCCGCCCCCCCGAGCCGAGCCGACGCTCGCGGAAGCAGGACAGAGACGGGCCAGAGACGGAGTGGGAGTTGCGAGGAAGCAGGACTACCAAATGTGGAAATTCTGCCCCCCCATGTTTCAAAAGGAGAAGCTGGGGGGCCTCCCTGGTGCTGGTAAAAGACACAGCACCGTCAAGCCGTGGCCGGAGTGTGCAGCCTCTGCGCCATCCCCGGCCAGGGAGTGACCACAGGGTGTGAGACCACCCCCGGCGTCTGCCCGCTGCTCCCTCGGCAGTGGGTTTCAGTGGATCCGCCTGTCTGCTCCCCCTCTGTCTCTGGTGACTCCTCTCACCCCCGCACGGCTGGCCTGTACCCCAGTTCTGTGTGCACAAATAAATCAGTCTTTAAAAAAAAAGGAGAAGCTGGCTCCGGAGAGGCCTTGGCCAGTGGTGGCGATGAGGCGGTTGGTTGTGAGGTGTGAGGCGGGTTCATCAGCCACCCCCAGAGGAAAACAGCTGCTGGAAGGAGACAGGAAGCAATGAAGGGGTGTGCTTGAATTTGTGAGATCTCCCAGCCAGGGGTACAGCTGTTGGGCGCACAGGGGAAGGGGAGAAGGACCCACGGGGGTTCAGGGGCCACTCCGGCTGGGCACCCCGTTTCAGGACTGGGGTTGTCACCTGTGTCTCAACATCAGAGAGGCCTCCCAAAGACTTGGGGGGCCCTACGCAGCCCAGCTGAGGGGGCATGGCTACCCCCACCTGCCCATTAAAGGGTGGAGAAACCCAGAACTGGCTGGGGCGCTCAGGCTGGGGGCGGCTCTGGGGAAAAGTCTCATTTTCTCTCTCACTATGGGGCAGGCGTCACCCCTGCCGGTGCATTTGGGGGGGAGGGGGTGACACGGGCCTGTCTGGTGGCCTGTCTGGTTGCAGGCTCACAGCGGGGCCCTGCCCTCAGGATGAGGCTATAAGGGCCTCACCCTCAGCTGACCGACTTTGAGGTGACGCTGGAATGAGCTAAGTGTTTGGGGGTTGATGGGATGGAGTGAGAGGGTTCTGTGAATGAGAAGCTAGTGAATTCTAGGGGGCCAGAGTGGGGTGCTCAGGTCTGAGTGGGTCCCCCCAAGAGTCCAGTCGCCACCCCCATGGGGTCGTGGTTTTCTCGCCCCCCTAAGCACGCCCCTCCGCTGCGGGAGGCACGGCTGACTCAGCCCTGGCTGTCCCCGGGGACACATCAGCGCCCCAGGTGAGGGCTCCCCGCCATCCCGCCCCTCCAGATGCCAGGTACAAGTCCAGGGTCAGCTCTCCGTGAACGTCCACGTTCTGTTCGGGTTCCATGAATTTTCTAGAATGAACCTTGGAACTGAGGAAACCCCTTTGCTCACCAGACACTGATCTTCCAAAGGACACAAGACCAGGACTCAGCAGCCAGACGGATGGAGCCGAGGGCGGGGCCTGTCGTCCTGGAGCTCGGGGTCACAGTGGCCCCCAGCCTGGATGCTGTCTCCGGTCCCGCCTTTGGGATTTTCGGGAGGCAGATTGCACGCAGCTGGCAGGCCCTCCCTGGGGCGCAGCGGGTGAGGACGCAGCACTGCAGCTGGCCACAGCCGCTTCAGACTGAGCTCAATCCCCGCCCCGGAGGTGACCACATGACCCGCCCGCTGCTCCCTCAGCAGTGGGCTTCGTCGATCCACCTGTTCTGCTCCCCACTCTGTCTCTGGTGAATCCCCTCACCACCCCTGCACCTCTGGCCTGTACCCCAGTTCTGTATGCAGAAATAAATGCATCATTTTTTTAAAAAAAGCTGGTGGACGGTCATGAAGACACCACAGACACACAGCGTGACGATGGTTTATTGGCCGAGGTCCTGTGCAGCCGCCAGAGGAGCCTGGCCCGGCACAGGGCCGTGGCACCGGGTGGCACCGGGTTAGTGGGTCTCATAATCAGGCTGACTCTGCCTCCCCCCAGGGTCCCTCTGGGGCCGGCTCACCCAGAGGACGGCGCTGAGCATGCTCAGGAACAGGGGCACCTTCAGGAAGACCAGGAGCCGGAAGTGGACGCTGCCCAGCAGGGAGCTGTGGGGACAGGCCACAGGGAGTGAGCCTCCCCCAGGGGAGCCCTGGGCCCATTCATCCCCTCCTGAGCCACGTCCCCACCACAACCATGTAAAGACAGCTGGACTGAGGACCCAAACAAGCCCCTGCGCCCTCGGACACCCTCCCTGAGACTAAGCACTTGTGTACAGGGCCAGGCCACTGGAAAGATGTGGGGGACCCAGGGGAACCCCCGCGTCAGGAGCCCGCCCGAGCCCTCGCGTCGGGGGTCTCCCATCCGGGGTGCGGTGATCAGTAGCAGTTCTCTTTTGTCTGCGCGGCACCAACACCCCGGGAGGGCCGGGACTGTCTTACCCACAGGGTGAAGTTGGCATGACCAGCAACCCCCAAATCATCAGCCCTTTGGAGCGGGGGTGCTGCTCTCCCCTCCCTCAGAGGCCTCCCTCTGGCAGACGTTGGGGAGAACAGGGAGCAGAGACCAGTGACCCCGCCCCTGCCCCCTGGCTGGGCGGGTCGGGCCCCTTTGACCGGACTTCGCAGGCGCTGACCCGCTGCTTGAACCCTACTTCGCAGATACTGACTGCCAGGCCCCCAAGGCTGTGGGGCCTCAACTCGAATGTCCCACCCGCTCCTCCCCCCCAAGTCTCCCTTAAGAAGCTCCATTCCCTGCTCCTGTCCCCACTCCCGCTCCCCGCAAGCCCAAGTGGCAGCTTTCGGCCAGCTCCCCTCCCCGCTCCCCGTGCGTCACCCTGAGGGGCTGTTCGAGGGTTTCCCGGGACCACACTGGTATCAGAGCAGGGTCGGCTCTGGGGGTCCCCAGCTGTGTCTACAGAAGGGCACCTACTAGTTGACTATCGGACTCCTCGGCCAGGTGTGGGATTGGCAGATAAGGGAGGCCCAGGCTGGGGGGAGACACCAGGCAGCCCCATCGCGTCTAGAAGCCCAGTGCCCTGTGGTCTGCCCAGGGACGCGTGGGCCCCTTACCCGGGGTGCGGGTCTGGACGCAGAGACTCCCACCAGGTCCCCGTGGTCCGGGTGGGTGTTGACTGTATCACCTGAGAGCAGGGGGTGCTCACAACGACTGCAGTTCTTGGGGGTCTCCAGGTGTCTGAGGCGGAAGCACAAGTCAGGCCGGCGCCCCTCCCCCCCAGCCTCCCATCACCGCCACTGTGACGGTCAGAGCCACCAAGGCGCTGACACAGGCCCCCACGGCCACTTCCAGGCCTGACAGGGGACAGCGAGGGGAAGCAGGGCAGTCCCCCAGCATCACAAAGGCCCACAAGTGGCCTGGCTCCTTCTCAGCCCCCCAAGGCTCCAGGAGACCTCAAGACCCTGGCTCCCCAGGAACCAGCCAGGACTCAGGAGGTCTCCTCTGGGCCCCGGGGTCCCGGCCGCTGGGGGGTGACAGCACCACGTGCCCTCTCATAGGGACGACTGGGGGGCCCAGGAGGAGACTCAGGGTCCCCTTCACAGTGCAGCGCCTGTGTAGGCAGGGGTCAGCCTGCCCCCTGAGTCAGAGGTGCCCCCCCACACACTAGGAGCGCCCCCGGCCCGTCCTGGCAGGTGTGGACACGTGCTTGTGCAGGTGTGAGCAGAACTCGCTGCCGTCACACGTAGGGCGCGAGACACGGACCCAGGACGTGGCCTCACGCACGGCACGTGACCACGGGGCTCTGGCCCGCCCACGCCTGCTGGTGCTGCGGTGCTGCCGGGGCGGGCCTGGTGCTGGGCGGGGGCTGGGGGCTCACCCGGAGCACAGACACCCTGACTTGGACTGCGGGACCCCCGTGACGCCACAGGGACCCCACGCTGGTGCCCTGCGGACAGCCTGGAGGCCCTGCAAGGCCATGGGAGGGTGAGGGTGGCCGGATGGGCCCGTGGACACACAGCCTCACCCCTGCCTCTGACCCGGCAGGCTTCACAGCACCCCCACGGGGGCCCCAAAGCCCCATCTCTCAGCAGCCCCCTCCTTGGAAGACCCGGGGTTAGGATAAGGGTGGGGTTAGGACTCACCTGGGGACACAGACACCTCAACCTGGCGTACGGGGTCAGATGAGAATGATACATCAATCCCACACTTGTATGTTCCCGCATCAGCCTCTGTGAGCCTCTCCAAGGTCACTGTGAAGGTCAGGTTGGCGGGATAGTCCCGGATGGACACGCGGCCGCTCCTCCCCGCTCTCTGTGACCTGCTGGCCTTCACAATCTTTTCACATTGTACCCAGCCGGAAACCTTACACCAGTACTTGACTTGGTCCTTGTATTTGTCCTGGTAGCGACACTGCACACGCAGGGACCCGCCCACGGAGCCGGTCACCACGCGGGGGCCGTCCAGACACCAGCAGCCTGGAAGACAGAGCCCGCTGCTCCGTGGGTGGCCGGCCGGGGCCCGGGGTGTGGCTCCACGCGGACCTGGGCCAGGGCCATCGAGAGGAGGGACAGGGGGTCCATGGAGACGGGAGGGCCAGGGCGGGCAAAGCGAGTGTGCACCTGATGTGTGGCCGTGGGTCTGCGGCCCTGTGTGCTGGGCGCGTGTCTGTGTGTGCTGCGGGGCATTCGTGTGGGGGGGGGTGTGTTTGTGTGTGGGGGGTGTTATGTCAATGCTGCTTGTGTGTCTACATGTACAAATGTATGCAGGGTGTCTGTCACGTCATGTGTGGGGTGTGCGTGGGGGTGAGAGGCAGCAGACATGTCTCTGGGGTCCTGTGTCCAGGGCAGTGGGCCAGGCTGGCCTGGTAAGGCCTGGATCCTCCTGTCACTGCGAGGCCAGCGGAGCCAGGGCTGGAAGCTTCTCGGCCCCCTCCCTGTCCCAAGGCTCCCTCCCACGGGAGCCCACACCCCTGCCCCTCCCAGCCCTCCCTCCCCCGACAGACCCAGCCCCTCACCTGGGATCTGGAGAAGGAGCAGGGCCAGGAGCTGCCCGGTGACCCCATCCCTCCGGGCCATTTCTGGAGCACAGGTCACCCACAGAGCTCTGGGCCCTGAGCCGGGGGAGAGCTCCCTGGCTCCCCACTTCTCCTTCTGGCCTCCCTGCTTCCTCCTCCCCTCCCACCCCACACCCCCCCACCCCCGCCCGCTGCCTGGGGCCACTCAGGGCTGGTGGGGCTGGGCAGGGCAGGGCTTGAGAAGCAGAAGCTCCAGGGGTGTAGACCGGGGAGTCGCCCCTGGTTGCCCGGGTCCTGGAGCCCGGTGACTGGGCCGGGCCAGGATGCACAGATGGGGCCCCCCCTTTCCCACAGAACAGCACACAAGCGGCTCCTCCTCCTTGTGGCGTGGCCCCCGCTGACATCTCACTTCCTTGGTCCTGGTGGACAGTCCTGGGGGTGGGCCGTACCCGTCCCTCCTCAGGCCTGGGTGGTGGCATGGGGGACTCAGGGCCTGCCCTGCAGCTCCAGCTCCGGGCCCCAAGTGAGGGCCCCGACCAGGGTGTGCCCCGTCCCCGGAGGTGGGGACCCCCCACCCCTCCACACGTGGCACTCTTTCTGCTTTGAAACCCAGCCCCTTCGGTTTGAAGGCAGAGAACAGAGAGGGGCAGGGCGGCCCAGGTGTGCAATGCTGTGGGCCGGGGGCCTGCGCCAGGGATGCAGGCTGACCCTCACCCCAGGGCGCAGGAGGACGCTGGTGGAGCTCGGGGCTTTTCTGCAACAGGCCCAGAGTCCAGCATGTCTCCTGGGTCCTCGCAGTGACCGGGGGCCTTTCCTGGGCAGGGCAGGAACAGGCCGGGCCAGGAGGGGGGCGTCTCCCACTCACGCTGCTGCTTCAGCCAGGCCACAGGCTTGGGGTCAGCTTACCCTGGACAGGGCCGGGAAGAAGTTCTGGCAGCTTCTCAAGGTTCTGGCAATTTCTCATGCGTTTTTGTGCATGAAACACGCCTCTGGAGGTGGCACTGCCCTGCCCAGAGCTGTTCCTCCTGCACTGTCTCCTCCGGTCGAAGGCAACCCCGTACCCAGAGTTGTTACAGCCCAACCCACCTGCCTGGCTCCCGGTGTCACCCAGGAACCCTCAGCAGCTGCCCAGTGGGCAGAAGCCTGCTCCCCTCTCAAACCCCCAGGACTTCCCTCTCCTCCAGCGCCCTCAGGACGCTCCTCTCCCTCCGCTCACCAGCAAGGGGCGCTCTCTTGCGGGAGTCTGTAGTGTCCCAGCCGCTCCCTGCCAGAGCCCTTCAATGAGACCTGCTCTCCTGGTTGTGCAGGTCCAGGAAGCTCAGCCACAAGTGGTTCTGCTGTTTCTTCTCGCTCCTCTGGCCCGGGGTCTGAACTCCAGGCAGGGTGCCCCAAGTATGGTGCTCTGGGCACGGTGTTCATCCTTTGTCAGGTCTTGGCTGCTGCCTTTCTCTTTCTGGACCTTGCCCAGACTCTTCTCATTTCTGGTTCCGCTTGTGTGGAAGCTTCACCTCAGCCACCCCCTCTCTTGGTCCCTCCCCGTCCATCCCCGGAGTCACCCCGCGGTCTCCACGTGGACCCCTGCTTATTCCCATAGTTCACTGCACACTGACGTTGTATTCTCTGTAGGTGGCTTCTGCCATCTCCAGCCACTACCCATATGGCCACGGGATCTGGCTGCTGTTGTTGCAAGGCAGGGAGAGGCACCCCTGAACCCCCAAGTCTGCCTGCTCTAAATAGGTTCTGTCCTCTGCCACATCAAGACAAGACACAAAAAACCTTTCATTGAGAGGAACTTTAATAGTCAGTGGGCAATGCAGCAAACATAAAGAATCTAGTTTCTAAATCAGACCCCCAACCCTCATGGGTAAAAGTCCCCCCAAAGGGAATGGCCCAGAGCCAGGCCTGCAAGCCCAAGCCTAAAGCAACTTCCGGGGGGGACCCACAGACAAGGGTCAGACATGGCCAGACATGTCTGGGAGGAACAGAGCAACAACTAGATCAAGATGAAGGCTGCCACCGTCACCTGCCCTCGGGTCTCCCCCACGTCTGTGTCCCCAGTCCAGGGCCAAGAAACAAGAGCTGCGTCTTGGCAGGTCTCCGCTCCCTGAGCTCCCCATCTCCCTCTGGCTCCGTCCCGCTCTGTCCTCCTCATCTCCTCTCCGGGGGCTTCTCCCCCTGCTCAGCTCAGCCTCCCTTGGGTGGGGCAAGGACCTGGAACCTCCCCTTTGCCTGGGCCCCGTTACAGAGCCACGGACAGTCGCTGTCACTCACCAGCACCCACACACACCACACTGGTCCTAGGTAGCGGAGACGCCAGGCCCAGCGGGTCTCTCCGAGTCCCGACTCCCTGGCAGGCTCCGCAGAGACCAGCCTAGCACCTCACCCCTGGTGCCCGAGAAGAGGAGGAGAAGCAACGCTCCCCCTGGAGAGGGGTGGGCGGGAGGCCACGGCCTCTCCTGCGGCACCGCCGCACCCCACACCTGTGTTCCCCACGCCACCCCTAGGGAGGTGGTCCGAGGTCACTGAAGGTGAGGTCCGCCGCTATGGACGCTCAGCCGCCCGCCCCTCTCCATCGGGCCCAGGGGCTCCGCCGTCTGTGGCCAGAGCAGCCAACTCCGCCGTCCGCACCACAGCGTGGCCTGTCCAGGCCCCCTGCCGGCCACATCCAACACTGGGCGCCTCCCTCCTCGCTCAGTCCCTCGGGAGGCTGCAGGTCTCGCTCCCCAGCCCCCAGCCACAGCCGGAGGGCCCCGGGCCTGGACACTGCGGCGTCCCCCACCCAGGAGCAGCTACTGTCTGGCCGCTCTCGGCGGCCAGGTCACCCAGGACCAAGGGCCGCTCTGTCTGTGTGTCCACCCAGGCACCCCTCTCCCTTCTTCCTCCCTCCCTCCCAGCTCTCCCCCATCCACACAACCATCCACCAGGCCATAGGTTGTCTGCACCGGTGGTGAGGTTTTTGCTAGTTTTTCCTCTAAAATTCAAGGTAAAAAAGATTGCCTGGCCTCTTCATTTTAAACCTCTTCCATTTTTTACTATTCCCAGCGAGCAAGCTCAGGTGGCCACGGACCCCTGTGCCCTGAGCCCTCGGCCTGCCCACCCTCGCCCCAGGCCGCGTCCTCAGTGGGGGTCCCACCCCCACGCCCTGGTGCTCCAAGCCCTCTGGTGGCAATTCCGGTGGGCGTCTCTGGGACACTGAACCGGCCGAGTGCAGAGATGCTACCAGGCATCGCAGAGCACACAGGACGGTCCCCGATGAAAATGAACCCCCCTCCAAGGCAGCAGTGGCCAGGGCGAGGAGCAGAAGCCTCAGCCCTGCGCGAGAGCTCAGCTTGAGGCCCTGGCAAGCGCTGCGGTTCCTGGCTCAGACGCTGGGGGCGCTGTTTCTGGTCCCTACCCAGCCGGCGCCGGGCTTGGCTTAAGCTGTCAGTGGCTCTTCCTGGCAGATATGGGGACGCCTCCTCTGGGCTGGAAGGGACAGCCTCGTCAGGGACCCTGGGATAGCCACAGCCTCCCTCCCCTCTGCGCTTCCACCAGACCCCTGCCCTGAGCCCGCCTGGGCGGCCCCGGGCCCGCCAGCCCCAAAGCAAGTGCCTGCCCTCTGCAGCCGAACGAAGGAAACGTGACATCTCCTCCGCACCACTGATGGCACCTCTGCTTCCAGCAGCCTGACCTTCCAGACTGAGGTTCACTCTTTTCTTGATTTCCATTTGGGGGGTTGGTTGTTCGAAGCAGGGAAGCCCGGGTCCGTCCTCCACAGCCCAGGAAGTCTCGCTGTCAGGGCGTTTATCCTCCACCATGGAGCTCAGTTCCTGTGTCCAAGACTAGGGCCTGAGGGCATCTCCTTTGCCCGAGAGTTCATGTGGATGGATGGCGGTCACGGCCCAGAGCATGCCGGGGTGGGGCCTGGGCAGCGAACCCCACCCCAGCCCCGGCCCTGCTGCTCTATTTAGAGCTGTTTCTCTCTGGAGACGCTGACGAAGGTGGCGTCACCAGCCCCGGGTCACGCTGGCCCCTCTGGGGCCGGCTCACCCAGAGGACGGCGCTGAGCATGCTCAGGAACAGGGGCACCTTCAGGAAGACCAGGAGCCGGAAGTGGACGCTGCCCAGCAGGGAGCTGTGGGACAGGCCACAGGAGTGAGCCGCCTCCAAGGCCCTCTCCCCCCAGTGCTCCCTCCTGGGCCCCATCAGCCCTGAGCCCCCCGACCTCAGCCAGGACGACCCCCTGGCCACTGTCAGCTGCTCCAGGCTGAGCCTCCAGCATCTCCTGCCCCGTCCACTTAGTCCCATCCTGCTGGGCCCACCGGCCGTCCCCTCCGCCTGGCCTCCTCTGGCCTGGACACAGGCCGTGCCCTCTGGTCAGTATCGCCCTGGCCGCTGCCTCAGTGCCCACGCCGCGGCTGCATGTCCACAGGCTGTCAGGGCGCCTCCGGCGGCACAGCTGAGGGGACCTGCCAGTCGCCACACGCAAGAGCCCGCTCTGCTCTGGCTCGGCCGTGCGGGGCTGTCCCTGGGCTCTGGGCTTCCTGATCCTCCCTGTGTGCCCAGGGCCCTCGTGGTGTCCGTGAGCTTCCTCAAGGACTGTGCAACTTCTGTCGAAGGACAGATTCCAGACGGAAGGGAAAACTCTGGAACATCGGAATCTCCATTGCTAACTGATGTAACGACCCCCCTTGTTTGTATCATCATAATATCAGAGTCTCCTGAGCAACCATCAGCTTACAAGGGGATTGCCTCAGCCCCTTAAGGCGCTGCCCCCTCAGGCAAGCTGGGTCATAAGACCCCCAGGGCACAAGGACCCCTGGGCAGCTTCCTCAGTCTTTTGAAACAAAAAGCAAATCTCAGACAAGGCTCCCAGGGCCTAAGACTCACGCCAGTTGTTTCTGCAACTGTCACTTAATGCTGCCTGTGTGACTTCCTCTTAGTTTACCCTTTTCTTTTCTTTCTTTCTTTTTTTTTTTAATATTTACTTATTCGTACAGAACTGGGGTACAGGCCAGAGATGCGGACGGTGAGAGGATTCACCAGAGACAGAGTGGGGAGCAGAGCAGGCAGATCGACGAAGTACACTGCTGACGGGAGCAGAGGGGGGGACAGGAGCAAACGGGGATCGAACTCATGCGGAAGCGGCTTTAGCTTCTTTGTGCTGTGCTTTAACCCGCTGCGCCATCAGGGAGGGCCAGTTTACCCTTTTCTTAAACAATCTCTAACTACTCTCTGCTAGCCTCAAGTTCGCCATTCACTTCTCTCTAGACAATCACCGGTGACTGCTAACACAGTCTACCCCTTGCCCAGGACCACAACAATCCTTTGCGAACGGCTCATCCTTTCCCAGACCCCTTATCCTCTGAGTCACAGTTGAACATCCGTACACATGAGAGACCACAGAGCTGTAGTCCAGATGCCATCAGATGTCAGAGCGATGCACTGTTCCCCTCTTCCTTGAGAACTGTTACGGCGACTTCTTATTAACTTACCTGATGCATAATCGTGACTAACTACTTGCTACACCCTATAAATAAAAACCTGCTGGGAAACAGCAGGAAGCCTTGCACCCAACTCCGGCTTCCGCGTCTTCCTCGCTCCCGCTCCCCTCTCCCTCTTTTGGAATCTCCATACTCCAACAAGACCCTGTCCCCTGCTGTGCAGAAGAGTCTGGATGAGACGGGACATGCTCCCTGGGAACTGAGGAGGGGCGAGGGGGTCCCCGCAACAAGTCCAGACCTGGGCTGAGTCACCTGCGGCCTCTGCACACCACACCCCGGGGTGCCCCCTCCAGCGCCCTGCCTGGGCCCTGCTGTGCACACCCGGGTGTCTCTAAGCCCCTCCTGGAGAACTGTCACAGAGAGGGGCTCAGAGCAGGCCGCCGGTGGGCTCCGCAGACTGGTTTGCAGACTGGAGACTGAGAGCATCAGGCCCAGAGACGTCTGGGAACAGGCGTGGGGAATCCTCCCTGCCCCCACCACGGCGCAGGTGGCATAGTCCCCCATAGCCCGACACTCAGATTTGGGGCGGCCGCGTAGACAGGTGACCTTTGCAGATGTAATCAAGGTGAGGGGGTCACTGTGGGCGGGCGCCCTGTCCAGTGACTGGCTTCCTTATAAAAGGGAAATGGGGCCCAAGAACCAGCAGGAAGAAGCCCGGAGCACAGAGCAGATTTGAGGGGCCGCCACGACCGAGGGGCCTGGGGGTGCCACGACTCCAGAAGCAGGAGAGGGGCTGGGACACAGCGGCCTCAGACCCCAACAGGAGCCCCCCCCCCCCTCGGTTCTGGCCACCTGCGCTGGGAGAGGGGAGCCCTGCAGTCTCCCTCTCAAGGAGCCTGAGGGCTCCGAGGCAAGCGCTGGCCAGGAAGCGGGGCTCTAAGGGACTCCCCAGGAAGATTTGGGCCCAGCGAGCGCAGGACACAGCAGCAGCAGGGCCGGCTTACCTGCTGTTGGTGACTGTCGGGGGGCCTTGGCCTTCTCCTGGGGTGACGGGTGCCATGAGAGTAGAGGTGGTGCTCATGGCGGTGGACGCTGCAGAAACACAAGTCTGCTTGAAACACAAATCCGATTCACGCACGCTGTGCCAGCCGTCACAGCCCATCTGCTCCTGTGAGCCTGGGCGTGCCAGGCTGCCTGCCCTGAGCAGCCTCGTGCAGAGCCATGGGGAGGGGTCCGGCGCTGGACGCCTCATGGCTGGAGGCCTCGAGCAGACCCACGAGCGGGGGCAGCTCAGGAGGCGTCCTGCAGCCCCGGGAGCCGGGGGTGCTCAGGGCCAGGCTCGGGGTCCCGAACCTTAGCAGCCCTGCTGCTCGTGAGCCCCCAGACCCGCTCTCCTCCTGCAGCCAACACGGAGCGAAGCAGGCAGCCCAGCGGCCGACAGACCCACGTGAGTGACTCCGGTCAGGCCCAGGCGAGCCCGCCGTGGCCAGGGGCTCTCACACTGGCCCAGTGGTGACCTTCCCTGGGAGGGGTGTCAGCAGAGTGGGGCCAATAGAAACCGCTTCACCCCAGGAGCTGGGACCAGAGGGCGCCTCCCAGGTTTGGATGTACAGGGAGCAGAAAGAGACACCCGTGCCAGGCTAATCCCCTGGCCGCTTCAGGGGTCGGCCAGGGTCTGTGCTGGCCCCTGGCCGCTGATGGCATGGAGCACGGGGTCACAGTCACGATGGGGTCTCATGATGGGGCATCAGGAAGGGCAGGGAGGGCCAGGAAACACTGGCAGGATCTGGGGTCTCTCGCCCCATGGGTGGGTCCCTTTGGCCCACGCGCTGACCAGGGCATCTCCTATCTCTGTGGCTATAGGCTGAGGAGGGAGCCGTGCACGGGGGGCAGTGAGTCCCAGGGATTCACATCCAGGGGGTTTGGAGCCCTGAGCACGAGGGAGACGCCCCCACCCCAGTGCCCACAGTGAGACTCCCCACTCTGGGACAGGGGAACCCTGGACACCAGGACAGAGCGAGACCACCCACCCGCACACGCGCTCACCTGGGGCAACGGTCACTTTGACTTCATCCCCGAGGTCAGCTCCGACTCTATCAATCCCACACCAGTAAGTGTCTGCGTCGTCCAGCCTGAGCGCCTCCATGGTCACGGTGAACATGCGGCTTCTCCTGTGGTCCCTGATGGACAGGCGGCCCTCCCTCGCCTCCTGCTCTGTCCCAGTGGT